GAGTTTCTGTTGCAAAAAAATTTGGGCTGTGTTAGGGAAACGTGATGATGACGATGACGAAGAGGAGAGAAAGAAATGCAAAGAATATAACAACAGCAGGTTTAGGGCACCACGAGTGAAACCTTCACGAGTGATGACATTGCAAAACATTTGATCGCCATATATGTCACGGTTTACGATGAATGGAATAATTAATATTATTATAGATTATTAATTAATTACATAAAGATTCTTTTAAAGATTCTAGACATTATAAACACTTTTTTGATTCGTATGCTTGTTACGACTTTAACTTGCAATTTGCATAAATACTGCCACATTAGACATTATTATAGTTTTCTACAAAATGAATTTAAAACGTTAATTCTAGATGATAAAATATAAAATAACGAAGAAATGCTTTTTTCCTCTTTTTTATGTTGCGTCCTCCCCCGAACTTTGAAAACAATGTACGTGCCTGGACCAAAGATAGTTGAATTTCGCTCACTATCAACCACTTCCCCCGATTTATTTAAGATTTTGTTCGGTCATTCAAACACTGTTTACACTCCTGCAAAGCAGACTTCCCGGAAGTGGGTCCAATGTATTAGGGGGCATTCGTACAAGATAAAAAAGTGTAATGAATTTTCAAGTATTTAATGATTCATTAGCTAATCAGTCTTTAATTGATAATGGCTTGTAAAAAGCACTTAAATGCGTTCACTAAATAAATGGCCTATACTAGGCTTAACGCATTGGATATAACAAATTATTGAAAATGAAATATTCATAAAATTAGGCAAAGTTTTGTCGATTATCTTTCAAAACTTCTTCATAATTTATACTAGTATTATAACCAGACCTTGTCAATTACTTTGAATGGTAATTAATGCATTAAATAACAATTACATTCGATTTTATCTTACGATTACCATTACTAGTATTTTCATTTAGAGAAATAAAAAATTTAAATACAATTACTGTCTTAGCTAAAGTAATGAATTATATTATATATTACATTTTATGCAAATATAACAATAGAATATTTGAAAATACAATTTATTGTACCTTAACCTAAAGTCAGATTATGGTACCTGGTAATTTCATTTTTCCTGACATGTTCCCTGAAATTTACTGTGGAATCATTTTAATTTGTGGAGGTCAATGTTCGTGGGCAAAATTTTAATTGCTCTTTGGGACGTAATTTTGTGGGTAACTCATTTAAATACGAAAGATTAAATGAATCAATATTCGAAATAAACGTTCATGGGGGTGTAAATTCGTGAGCAAGGGTGACCCACGAACATTGGTCCCCTATAAACAATGTTGATTGCACAGTACATTTACTGCTTGAATTGTCATATGATACAGATTTTTTCTCTGAAAACCAGCCCTAGGAAACTTGTCTGTACTGTGTTGTTTGCAGACAACAAATATTTTACATCCACTTATACCCCTTTTCAGATGCATTTTAATTCATCATGTTCATAAACGTTGAATTTCAAGTTTACTGTGAAAATCTTAGTGTCAAGTAAAATGTGTTCCATTAAAAAACATTTAACGTTTTTATCAAGCACCCTTGATAAACATTTTTCAAAATGGTAAGATGAGGGAAAATTTTGATTTCAAGAATTTTTTTTAAAGAGGATGACTGCATGCACTGAACGCCGGGGTTTGGGGTCTTTTTCTATCGCTTCTGTTGCTTTTAAATCTAACTCATTTCATTTTTATATATTTATGAAAGTATCTTGTTTAAAAGTAAAAATGATTTTAGACTGTAATACAATAAAATGATTTTATGTTTTCTGTACTTACTCTTTTCAAATATAGAGAATTTACACTTACCTGCCCTTGATTGAACATAACGTAGCATGAGAGGTTGAGCTAACATTGTAAGAATGGGTCGAAAATTAGACTAGAAAAATAACAATGACGTATTAAAAAAATACGAGACCACTATTTCCCATTCCCTTTTTATTCTGTATGGCACAAGTACACAATTTACAGAGGTTTCAAAGCGAAATTAACAACATGTTTGTCTTTTAATCTCCGTTTGATACGACATTAGTAATGAAAATATACAGCTACAGTTAAAAGAAGAACAATAGACAAACACGTGCTGACCATGTATAAAGTCAGTAAAAAAAAGTGGGCGTCCTCATTATCGTACGGAGATTCAAGAAATTGTGATGGCCCCGACTGAAAACATATTCGTACTTCCTAAATACATACTTCTATTTAATGTAATTTAGTAAAGTTGTAGACTAGATGATGACCATTCCTGCAATTAAAAGAAAAATGCTTGTTTTGAAAGTTCATTTTGTCGTAAATTTGGCATGTCCTTAAGTGCAGTCATCCTTTAAAAGAATAAATCATCTGTCACTGAATTTAATTTGCGACAGATTCATTAAAAATTATGATTTCATGAAATAAAAAGATACAGTTGAACTGTAATTGAAAGGCAATTTTCAATACTTATAATTTCATGAAAATAATACATGTTACAATTACTTGTGATTGAAAAATGGGCCCATTGCACAGTAGATCCCACTTTAAAAATAATTGATAAAGGTAACATTGAATTGGTCAACTTTAAAGAGGTTTTAAGTTAAATATGTAAAAAAAAGTATTAAGCATACTTTAATGAAAGCAAAAAAAAAAAAAAAACAAAAACAAAAACAAAAAAACAACGATTTGTACAAGTACAAATCAAAGATTTTAAAGGTTACTTGGAAGCTCAATAACTTTTCAAACATTAATTCTGAACATCTTTGCGAAGGCTTGTAATATGATTGAATTTTCCACTGCATAACACTGAAATCAAAGCAAGTTGTTGATGTGCTTAGTTGTAGCAATATTAATCACCCTCGTTATCACCCTCATTCCCATGCTGTTGGTACTAGTAGTAAGTTGGTTAATAAATTCTATGTCATTTTCTAATAATAAATCATTCCTGATGAAGTAAAGTTAATTGAATTGTTTGAACACGTTTGTTTATTAAATAACCTTGGAATTCCCCGTGCGTTTTCCAGTTTGTCTCTAAAAACTAGTATGTTATATAATATATATAGTCACGGTGTTATGATATTTTTACTTTCAAAAATAGTCTTAAAAGTAATTGGTTACATCTATGCACGTAGGTTTGACGATTTAGGCAGTTTTTTTTCTGTTTCTTTGTTAGTCTAATAATTGAACCCAAATTCTAAATTTTGAAATAAAAATTAATTCGTCATTTTGATTCCGATACTGGCAAACGTTGATATGTTTCGTGAACATATAAACCAAGGTTATTCGAAGGTCAAGGTAACACGTAATTTAACTGAGAAACGTTGGACGATCATACTTGGAAAAATCATAGCTTATGATATGTGACTGTATCATACTCTCAACTTAAGGTCAATAAAACACTTACTATGCACCGTTAACCTGTTAAGTTTAGGTTTACCCGTCAACCTAAGTCAACCTGTTATAATATTCTTATGAATCATATTTATTTAAAAACTTCTAAATGCGACAGAACTCTTGCTGTGGCTTTCAATTCAACATTTCGATATATCGACGACGATTCATCGATTAGCAATAGTTATTTTAATTCATATGTCAACTCATATGTCATGTCATACTTATGACTCCAAGTTTTCCATTGTCACCTTTCTCCATTTATGAAGTAATATTCCTCAATCACCTGCATACGCTGTTTAAGTCTGATCTGAAAATGTTTTATGTTTAAGAGACAGGCCATTGACAAATGATTTGATGTTACATGGTTTTTAACTACTGTATACAGGGAAAATTTCGCCCCCGTTTTATTTTCGCCCCTTTCGCCCTACTCATACGTGGGCGAATTTAAAACAGGGCGAACTCAAAGATCACAGTATAGTTTCTTAAATTAAACAGAACTTTGACTGTGCGAATTTAAAACGGGGCAAAATTGTTTGCAAGTGTGAAAGGGTGAAAAAAGCACGGGGCGAAAATAACCCTGTATACAGTATCTCTTAAAGACAGCATTCTGCAAATTCTATTGTCATTATAGTGAACTTATTTGCAAATGAAACTTGTCGATAGACAATACACATGTAGATGGATGGAAGCTACAACACAGAAAAGGTACATATAAAAGGTTTTTCATCCTTGACTTTAAACCATGTATTTATATTTTACATTATAATGAAGATCAAATTTGCATGTAAAAAATATTGAATATTTACAATAAAACTGAGACAAATTGTGTATTTAGTTAAATATGTCTTAGAGGCACAATTATGTTCGTGGTAATGTCGTGAATATTGTTCATAATTCTTTAAATAATTTGGTGACACAAAGGGGACCTAATACACCAAATTATTTTATTTTCTTTATTTGGATCTTAAAAGAATGAAGGCTAAAATGTTAGTAAGAATTTTTATGAACTTCTCAGGTAAGGTAAAGGAACTGAAAATATCACGTATATAATTTCATACTTTCTCTATCATGACAATTTTATTTTTATTCGATGTATATTTTCAAAATATTGTTCATTATTGAACCTTGTATCCCTATACGCTTTCCATGACCTTTATCAAGATGATCAATTTTTGATATAAAATAGCATTTGATTGAATCTTAAAGTAGAATTTTTTTTTTCATTTATGTTTGTATACATGAGAAAAAAAAAACAAAGTTGGCGAAAACATGGCTCAAGAACTGTTTTCAGCACCAAATGTTGCATTACAGATAATTTCGTTAATTGTCTATAGGGAGATCTAAGCAAATGTTTACATTAACATTTATAACCAATCAGTTCCTTTCGTTCTTACTTGAAAGTCTGTCTATTCCTATTTCCTGTCCATAATTCGTTAATAAAGCTTAAATACATGTATTTCCAATCCGTAAAAGGTAATCTACGTAGGACGTAAATTAACATGTAAGTTTGATTGACATTAAAACATTCATTTCAAATGATATATAAATGAAAAATTTTGAAAATCCAAAACATAACTTGAACAATACTCCCAATTGAAATTTTCTACAAGCAAGATAAAATGAGGCAACTACGTATTGTATTTCTTGGAGCCGAGCGTGTAGGGAAAACGAGTATTATCAAACAATTTCTGTACGGATCGTTTCAAGAAGTGACTGAGTCAACTCTTGGAAACTCTTACAATGAAACTATTTGCCTTCCTAGTAAGTATATATTGTATTTGAATTATGGTTTATGGTACATGTATTATTTCTGAAAGTATCTTGGCATTTTGTTCACAATCCAATATGTAAATCATTTTTTTAAATCATTTTTGTCATTTTTACAGATGGTTTATTTCAACAAGTTCAAATCATCGATACTTCAGGCAGCAATGAGTTTCCCGCCATGAGAGACGTCAGTATTAGGAATGGAGACTATTTTGTTGTAATGTATGCAGTAGATAACCCTCAGTCCTTTGATCAGGCCCACACACTTGTTCAAAAAGTCAAAGACATAAAAGGTATATGTGCGGTCGAATTAAACTGTGACAAACAAACAGAAAAATCAGTTTATTTATTAAACAATGCTACATTTAAAACTTATTAATCAATTAAAAGCAGTGAACATCATACTAAAACGCTGTCTTTCTTATTCCAGGAAAAGACTTCAGCAGAATTATTCTAGTTGGAAACAAGATAGACAAGACAAGTGCTAGACAAGTAACTACAGAGGAAGTTTTGAAGAAATCAGTTACCGAGGAAATGCTCTGTTTCACTGAAACAAGCGCCAAACTAAACTGTAACATTAGATGTCTTTTCCAAATTATCTTAAGAAACTATGTGAAGTCGGATGATTTGTATTTCAAGAAGAAAAACAGAAAGATATCAAAATGTAAAGTTAAGAGTATAACTGGTTCCTGTTTTAAAGCTAAGAAAACCTCCGTGCAAAATCTTGTGTATTCACTTTATACTAAAAATAAATATTTACATGTATGTCCAGCTTAAAGTTATTAAAATGTAGTTATTCCCTAGGATGAAATTAGCGTTTATAAAATATGAAACAAATAAATTGTAAATTTGCATACATTCTGCTGTAGCAAAATTTTATTACTGGCACTGTTAGTGATTATTTTTACGTCTTAAGCTTGCTGTTGTGAATTTTATCAATCTTAATTTTAAGAATGCAACGCTCAAAAATTCTTCTTCTTTTTTTCTTACAAGTTTTTTGAGTAGAATTTTTTTTAAAGTGTTAGCGTTTTTTTTCCCCTCAAAACCTGCGATGTAGTAGAATTCTGTATATATTATTTTCATGTGAATTTTTCTAATAAAGTCAACGAAAAGTTGAAATTAATAAAAATTATCTCAGAAAGTATAATTGATTTTTGTAGTTTAAAATTTCTTGCAAGATTTTTTTCATTCATATAACATGTCACCAGATGCCCTCGAAGGACCTCCTATTTTCTGAGACTGAGAAAAATTTTAGGAAATCTCTGTGATATATTATGATATTGTAATCTGCTTTGATACTGATACAATGTTCCCTTTAAATGCATACAAATGCTTAATAATTATGATTCCTCCAAGTATGAACCAAATTTGCAGAAAAAAAAAAATTTTTAGACAGGGAAAGTTCATATATTGCACTCAAATATATATGTGCATGTAGCTTTGTATTGAAAATCAATTATGAAAGGTTTTACACACCACGGAGAGTGTTGAATGAGTTTCTTTTTCCTGATAAAGTGATGTTACAATGTAGATGAACATGAAAGTATAATAAACATAACTTTTTTACTTACAGAGTAAGTTTCGCGTTTACACTTGATTGCGTCTGGAAAGTCTCGTAAACTTTCGTGAGCAAAAGGTTTCTAAAACAAAATTAAAAAAAAAAAAAAACCCAAACAATCAAACAAAACAAAATAAAAAAGAAAGAAAGAAAAATTCCCGGTCGTCTTTTTCAGTAATTATGTTGCTTTTAAATTGATGGACCAGGAAAAAACCCAGCAAATAAAAGTTAACATAAATGAAGACTGAATATTTTCCAAATGCAAAATGGTGTAAATCGGAGGAAAGATATCAAACCAGTACCAAAACTTTTGATTTCATCTCTTGAATTAACATCACAAGACTTGAAGTTACATATAGTGTAGAGGAAAAATTAGACTGAAGTGTTTTTCTTAGTCATCTTTTCTTTATTATTGCAGCCCGGAGGACCGGGCTGCTCTATACATGTAAGTTTAAGTGGGGATTGAGGTGGGAGAAGTTATTCAAAATTAAAGGTTTTCTAAACATTAAAAAGATTGTTAATCAGAATGTTCTTTCCCTTTATAAATTATGAGATACACAATATATTTACTTCCATAAAGTGAATCTGTAAAAATATATATGCTTTTTATATTTAATATATAAAGTTGCTTATCATTTACTATCGAAAAAACGACAGGTCCCTTTTTTTAGAACATCGAATTTTACTTATCGCATAAAAACGTAAAAAAGTACTTTACACAGTTCGTGTTTTATATTCTTTAAGTGAAAGACATTTCTGAAAATAGGTGATGCATGTGTCTGGTTTCAAATTATATTTCATGCAGCCAATATTTACTTGAGGAATTGATAAAGTTTAAAAGAGTATCGTTTTTATTCGATTTTCATCCGACTATAAGTTTTCAAAATATTCTCGACTATCGTCTCCATCATTTAGACGCATGCCTTTTTCACACATATCGAAGCGGTTTGATGATCAAGACTCATTTCCATTGTTTACTTTATTTATTTCCCGGGCGACAATGGATGGTTACATCAATGTTTCCTTGTTAGCTCTTCTGAGCCAAAGGCTCAAAGAGCTAATGCTATGGCCATTTGTGCGGTGTGCGGTGTGCGTAAACTTTTTAGAATATGGGCCATAACTCAAGAACCCCTTGGCCAATTATTGTCAAATTTGTCACAGGGTATCCTTGGCCCAAGGGCTCCCTTTTATACTAAAACTGGGGTTGTGACCCTTTAACAAGGGGAGATAATTAGGAAAATAGAAAAAAAGTACTGGTTGCTAAAAAATCTTCTTCTCAAGAACCACTGGGCAGATTATCACCAAACTTACACAAAAGGATGAGGATATGTTGAAGATTAAAATTTGCACGGGGATTTACCCTGGCGCAAAGGGCGTGGTTTCAAGGTCACTTCAAAGTTGACCAAAAATTACATTTTATTAAAATGTTGATATTTTGCTTACTATTAGGACTAGGATCATCAAATCTTGTCAGTTGGTGCATCTAAGGACCTCATATCATGTTGACTCAAAAGTAGGTCACGATGACCTACTTTTTAAATTTTGCTGCCATTCTTTTTCAAAATGATTTAGAGGCATATTTTGAACAATTTAAGGCCTATGATCATCAAACTTTGTCAGTTGATGCATCTTGGGTCCTCAAAGTACGTCAACTAAAAAGTAGGTCACCTTGACCTACTTTTTGAATTTTATGGCTAATCTTTTTTAAAACAATTAAGGTCATTAATTCGAATACGGGGAGGCTTAGAATCATTAAATCTTGTAAGATGATGCCTCTTGGGGCCATAAAACATATTTATTAAAAAGTAGGTCACAGTGACCTACTTTTTGAACTTTGCAGGCATTCGATTTCAAAGCGTTTTAGAGGCATAATTTGGACATTTGAAGTCCTATGATCATAAAACTTTGTAAGTTGATGCATCTTGGGTCCTCAAAAAAGGTCAACTGAAAAGTAGGTCACCGTGACCTACTTTTCAATTTATATGACTATAATTAAATATTTCAGGTACTAATTGGCTTAGAATCATCAAACTTTGTCAGTTGATGCATCTTGGGTCTTCGGAGTAGGTCGACTAAAAAGTAGGTCACAGTGACCTACTTTTGAAAATTTATGGCGTTAATTAAATATTTCGGGTACTAATTGGCTTAGAATCATCAAACTTTGTCAGTTGATGCATCTTAGGTCTTCGGAGTAGGTCGACTAAAAAGTAGGTCACAGTGACCTACTTTTGAAAATTTATGGCGATAATTAAATATTTCGGGTACTAATTGGCTTAGAATCATCAAACTTTGTCAGTTGATGCATCTTGGGTCTTCAGAGTAGATCGACTAAAAAGTAGGTCACCGTGACCTACTTTTGAAAATTTATGGCTTTAATTAAATATTTCGGGTACTAATTGGCTTAGAATCATAAAACTTTGTCAGTTTAGGCGTCATGGGTCCTTGGAGTACAACATCTGAAAAGTAGGTCACGGTGACCTACTTTTGAAAATTTATGGCTTTAATCAAATATTTCGGGTACTAATTGGCTTAGAATCATTAAACTTTGTCAGTTGATGCGTCTTGGGTCCTCGGAGTACAACAACTGAAAAGTAGGTCACGGTGACCTACTTTTGAAATTTTATGGCTGTATTTAATATTTTCAGGAATTATTTGGCTTAGAATCGTCAAAATTTGTCAGTTGATGCATCTTTGGTCCTCGGAGTAGGTTGACTGAAAAGTAGGTCACTGTGACCTACTTTTGAAAATTTATGGCTGTAATTAAATATTTTGGGTACTTATTGGCTAGAATCATCAAACTTTGTCAGTTGATGTATCTTTGGTCCTCGGAGTACAGCAACTGTAAAGTAGATCACGGTGACCTACTTTTGAAAATTTATGGCTTTAATTAAACATTACAGGTACTAATAGGCTTAGAATCATCAAACTTTGTCAGTTGATGCATCTTGGGTCCTTGAAGTAAAACAATTGAAAAGTAGGTCACTTTGACCTACTTATAAAATTTTATGATTATAATTTTAAAAAATATTTAAGGTATTAATTGGCTTAGAATCATCAAACTTAGTTGATGGGTCCTCAGAGAATGACAAGTGATAAGTAGGTCACCATGACCATTTCTCAGGTACTAATTGGCTTAGAATCATCTTGGGTTCTCAGAGTGTGAATTGGAATTTCAAGGGTTTATGTAAATATACAGGATACTTTGAGGCTTCAAATAGAAGTGATAGGTTGTACAGTTTATCAGAAGAGCGATTCAAGGCCCATGGGCCTCTTGTTCAGTATTGTTCTGCATACCAGCTTATTTTTGCATAATGTTTTAACCATATAATCAATTAGCTTAAGCAATAGACTTTAGATGCCTTAAGTTAGGAGAATATAAAAATCTCGAAATGCCTCGTAGTTCAACTGCTTGATGTCAGGAGTAAAGGAGAAGATTTTTAAAGATAGCACTAATTTTGATAGTTTTAGCCCCAACCCTCAGGCCCCAGGGGGGCAGGGACCTTGACATTCACAAATTTTGTTTTTCACTCATATGCTGTATGCCAAAACTGATTGGAATTGGTTCAGTGGTTCCAGAGAAGAAGTGAATATGTTCAAATGTTGACGGACGAAAACAGATAGCAATAGGTCACCTGAGTGACTAAGGTGACCTAATGAAAGATATTAATAACATTTTGGTATAAAACTCTGAAATACCAGCAGTCAAATCAACCTTACAAAAATCCATGTTAAAATTTTACAATAATAATTTTTTGAAGATTAATGAAATATGAGGATACCGAACAGAAAACGATATGATGCAAAGTTCCTTTTGAATCAAATTTCTTTCTTTTTTTTTTTTTAGGGTATTAAGAGCCATTCTCTGTAACGATTTGAACTTTTATATAGGAGCTGTGGCACGCATAGTCTCAGAATTTCTCCAAACTCTCTATGATAAAAGTCTTTGATACCATAAACTCAAATCAGGCAGAAATTGGTTGCTACGTGTATGGTTACCATGGCAACATGTCCTAAAGTTTGAAAAATGGCATTTTTCAACATGTTCAGAGTCCCACAGTTAACGTTTGCAGCAAAGCAAACAAGTGGCAATGATTGTTTCTGAAAGTTGTAGGCCAGATGTCTCGAATGCATGATAAACATGTTTGGTAAATCAACTATTACATACGTTACTATGGAAACAAAGTATTCAAAAGTAATAATTTTGCTCATTTAATTTTATAAAATCAAACACTTAAGAATAAAAAAAAATTATAGGTTGAAATGCAAGCAAATAATAGACAAAAGATCCTTGTAACATATACCAAGGAAGAAATATGATATTTCTTATAGGTTGGCAATGGTTGCCATGGTTTTAATACCAAGAAGGGATTTTAAATTTACTCTATTAGTGTTTAAATCTAATCCTATCTTTTTAAAAAGCATATTTTTATATAACTAATGATCAATTTTTAAAGACGTTCATGTGACCCTAATTTTCACATTTCAAAAAACTCAAATTCAATTCTTTAAATAGAGCGTTGCTATGGAAATAAGCCGAAAAAATATGCATAAAAATCTGAAAAATATTCTGTTTCCTTGGATACGTACCCTTGTATGTACATTCCCAAAACTTTTATGATTGATAATTATGAACAACTAACCTGACTTTCAATTTTGACTGCCACCTAATCTCTAACTGGATGCAAAAAGCTGGCACATAGGGTTTAATATTGATATAAAATTCACAAAATCGAACATTTTCCCTTCTTGGTTACCATAGCAATAGTGTTGTATTTTTCAACAAAAGTTATCAATATATGATATTCAACTTTAGTTCTACCAGATAAGTACTATTCAAGGTGAGTCAAATAATACGTTTCTTGAATAAAAGGTAAGTAAATTCCTAATGCAGCAAAAAAATATCACTTTAAACAACTGGTACATTGTTTCCATGGTTACACTGCAAAGTAACAATTAATACCATTTTTTCTTATGTTGTCGGTGTTGCAAGGTCCTAAGGATGTATACGTGCCAGTCATGAAATTTATTGTTTTTCCTGAAGATAGTAGCATTTACCCAATCTTAGCAACACATTTTGCATGGTAACACTGTGTTACCATGGCAACCATGAAAGTTATTTTTAGAATAATATTGCCAATACCTAATTACTTAAGGTCAAATATTTTAATTGTTTTTTCTTACGTTGTTGATTGAGTTTGATCATTTAACACCTATCATTAGTGAATATTGAGCGTTTTTCTGCATTTTTCAGCATCTAAAATGTATTCCAAATGTACCCATGGTTACCACTTACTTAGAGATAAATTCTAAATAGTTTCTTTATAGCATTAGTGGCAACAAGGTGTCAGGTTTTTGTGAGAATTGTTTGTTTGTTATTCTTAGTCTTTATTAAGGCTTAATAAAGATTCAAAGTAGCTGAAAATCTCAATTTTTCCAAATTTTCTGGCTGTTACCATGGCAACCAAGACACATAGCAATGAAATTTTATTTGATATATGTTTCTGGTGTCAAGTTGTAATAATGTGCAAAGTTTCATCAAAATCGGTGACCATGCGTGGCAAAGAAGTTTAAGTGGTTACAGAGAATCGCTATTAAATGCTCACAATAATCACGAAAGTAGTTCATGCACTAAGTGTCCAAAGCTATGACAAACTTTTTAAGGATTTAATGATCGCTTATTTTTGTCCATTTTAGATAGTGACAGATGTATTAAAGGAAAAAAAGTAATAAAATTAGATAAGTTTGGAAGGTTACATTATTACTCTGGGCATAGTACTGTCAGGGGTGAGATGACCACGAAATTTACAATGTCAGATCTCTTTTACCAAAAAAAAAAGCCACATTTATCAAAGTTGATAAAATTTTCTGAATTATCTTAGAACCTATTAAAGCTAAAACATTCAGATGTTAAAAGCACACTTTATTTTTATTTTCTGAACTCTTGTGGTGTGTTAAACTCTTCAAATGAAATCTTTGCCAGTTTGTGTTGCATGCATATTTATAAGTCATTTGATTAAAAGTTACAGATCACAGTTTGAATGTCATTCTTGATATATTAACCATATCCCTTGGACTTATTACTTGCTACTGATGTCTCTTAATGATTTTTCCCCTTCCCTAATGTTTTAAAGATCTAGACAATAGAATACAGTATGGGACTAGATATTGCTTTTACCCCGCCTCTGATGATTTTTCGATGAAATCCTGGCTTTAAATTGGTTGAAGTCTGTCACATGAAGGGAGTGTAATACTTATACACAGTCACTTGAAAATCAATACACGGTCAATACAGAGCTAACTTGTTTTAACTCGAGTTCCCTTATATTTTTAATTGTCAATGGACTCTAGGCTTGCCGAGTGTCTCCTGACAATTCAAAAGTTATTTATTTTCATTGTGGACTATAAAAATATTTGACATGAGAAAATGAATTGGATCATTTTCAATTTATTTCATGATATAAAGATATAAACAACAAACAAGTCAATATAATTGCATCAACAGCCCTTATTGTGCAACTTGATGTCACAATGCACTAAACAGTAAATACACTTATTAATGTCACACTTTATTCGTTTCATTTTCCACTTTCTGTCTTCTGATTATGATCCATGCTTATGTCTCCTTGAAATGCTTCCTCCACCTCAGACCTCAAAGATCACATCTGTTAATATTCAAAATGATATATATATATATATATATATATATATATATATATATATATATATATATATATATATATATATATATATATATATATATATATATATTTATTATACTTTCATGTTAAATACTAAAATCTGATTGGTTTAGACACATTTAACAATCCGTAATATTACCCTCAGCGTTAGCAACACACTTGACAACGGGTAACATTACGAAAATATCACATGCGTTCAAATCATGCGCGTACGGTTCACCGTAGAATTCTCAAAACGTCGGTTGTGCGTTTGAAAGAAGCCGAACAAACGACGTCAATAAAAGCTTGCGTCCGATGTGGCTTACTTGAAAAAGACAAACGACAGACGAAACATCCTTGCGAGTGCAAACTTTAGGTGATAAAGGACTTTTTGAGTAGCAAACAAATAATAAAGAGGTTGGTAAATTATTTACGAAGCTTTCCTATTGAGAAAAATAGAAATTGGGAGTTTGAAAGCTTTCTAAGCGTGAAGTTAACGACGATCTCCGAATTTTTTAATGACATCCGAAATCAATAAGACATTCAGTATAATAAAATAAATAGTGCACGTTTTTGAGGGTAACAGTTGAAATTGACACCCCTCGGAAAACCATTGTCAACCTCCGCTGACGCGTCGGTTGACAATGGTTTTCCTTGGGGTGTCAATTTCAACTGTTACCCTCAAAAACGTGCACTATTTATATAATATATATATATATATATATATATATATATATATATATATATATATATATATATGAAATATGGAGAATAACGAACATTAATCAAGCTTAAAAGTCCTTTGAAACAATACAAATTGGGAGCAGAGCAAACATAGACTTCTTAAACATAGGAGGTGGGATCAGGTGCCATGGAGGAGTAAGCCTCTCTGTTGACCGGTCATATCCGCCGTGTTCTCCTTGTCACGATCGGGCAAATGAAAAAATCCAGACACATCAGTGCATTAATAATGGCCTAATAATTAGTATGAAAAATGTCAGTCAGCATTCGACTTAATGATAGATTGTATTTGCTAAAAAGGTCATTGTATTGACCATAGAACTTGCCAAATGTTGATATCCTTATTATATATATATATATATATATATATATATATATATATATATATATATATATATATATATATATAACTGCAAAACTTTTATTCTGCAATTAATTCAACGAAATTTATTCTGACATCGACAGATTATCAATACTTAAGAAGAACTAGTTTATGCCTGTGACCAGAACCCTTCCCCCCATTCAGTGGTGAGAGGATAAAAAAGCATAATTTCCACAAATTTTTATTTTATCAGTAAAGTATCTTGCGATTCCTGAAACATCTCATCAGAGTGATTTCTTGATAATAACTTTCGAAGTTACCAGTCATCATCAGTGGCCAATGAATCATTTTTGAAAAAGTAATAATAGCAGTGGAGAAGAGAAATTGATGTGAATATAAGTGACTCTGTTTGCAGTAAATAGCAAAATAAACTTTCATGTAATATCCTTTTTCACTCTGTTTTAAAGGGAAAGAATAACGATTATCGTTGTTTAGTACTTTTTTATGTTTACAAATTGCTTTGTAAGAAAATATGTTGAATAATTCATGATAATATTACAAACAAGTTATATCAGTCAACCGGTTACTCGGTCAGAAAAATTTGGACTAACTGGTTATAAAAAAATATCAGATTATCATCCTAAATATATGTATATCAGATCAGTACATGTATAAATAGTACTCTAGAATATATCAAACAATTAAGTAAGCTTTCACTTCAAAAATGGATAAATGTGAGAATAAAAGTGTAAGCAAATGGATAGAAAAATACTCTAAATGTATCTTTAATCATATATCTTTGTACTTTGAAGAAGAAAATAAATAAAAAGAAAAAACTCATATCTACCTGTGTTGTTATTTGCATCACCTCTAATCACACTATTTCAGACTTTTATTTCAGAAATCCAATAGGTTTTCTCTTTGAGCCTTGTCTTTCTTCTTCTAATAGTGATTCCATCAAACTTTTATTTAGAAGTTCACCAACTCTTTTTCCTGTCTAAAATTTAAATTAAACATGTACAATTAAAGTACTGCAAATTTGGAGATTGTTACATCAATTTTTTTGTTGCAATTTTTGGTCCAAATATGCTAAATATTAATTTTTATACTTTTAAATTTTGAAATTCAAAAAAAAAAAAAATTATTTACAGGTTAAAATTATGTATCAATTAAATGAACTTTTAGTTCTGATAAAAATCATTGATTAAAGATAAAAACATTCTGGTTCATTTGAGTTTAAAAGAATATATTTGATCCAAGATTATTGATTCAGACATTATAACCAGAAGTCTTTGACTAGACTGTAGGTTACTCCAGCATGCTAGAGGTTCACGGCGAGATACTTTTAACTTGGCGCCGCGAGGTACATAAGGAGCATAGGGACGTTAACTGAGGCTCTTACTAGTTGGAGTAGACTGTAGGTGTACTAGTTTGTACTGATGAGAAAAAAGCAGCACCCTGACTTGAAGCCTAGTAGCTTATGGCAACACCAATAAATAGGAATTATGATCATTTAGTTTGTGCACAAAGTTTTATTGAATTCAATTTCTCTAGTTTGGTAACCATTGCAATGCCTTTCATCAGAATTAAGAAAAAAAATAATATACTAAATCATCTTCATATTACAGAAATTTCTTTTATTAGTAATCAAACACTGATAAATAGAATTATGTATCTTAATTATTTTAGTCTACTTGTAAACCAAGTCCTACTGAAATCTAACTAAAACTGTACAGATAGTAGGGTATTCAATGAAATTCACAAAAATTCAATTTTTTAGTAATCATGGCAACAATGTTCATCGAAATCAGAAAGAATAAAAATATATTATTTTATGCATTTTTCTGTAATATACCTGTGTACCAAGTTATATTAAAATCAGACTTTAACTATATAGGAAGAGTAGTGTATTGAAGAATTGTTTACAGACAGATGGGCATATGATGGACACAATACTTTGACCAGTCGAGCCAAAAATTTGTACGAAATTTATAATCAAGAATAACATATAAATCCTCTTCACTTAGGTGGTCCTCAATAAAAGACATTCACAATCAAGAGAAAAAAAATCACAAAAATATAAATAATTAGTTATTTTTTGCAGATATTTTTAAAAGAAAAATATTCTTGGGAATGTAAGTATACATGCAAAAGTTCCTTAAAATTTCTTGACAGTAAAAATTTCCAGATTTATGTATTCTGAAAGATCAGCATTAGCAATGTCAGTTTACCCATGATTTCATGGCTTAATGCCTTCAGTAAACAAGATAATCATGATTTAAAATGACCAACTGACCATGATTTCTTTTAGATATGGTAATTTATACCTGCATCATATCCTCCACACTGGCAGGGTCCAGACTTCCACTCCCATCTTTCCTGAGTCCTGTCACGGTACCCCTCTCTGTTACACCCATTGTTAATCTAAAAGTAAATAGGGGTCAGGATTTTTTGCAATTTTAGTACAGGGTTAATTATACCTGCATTTTATAAAGAAAATTTCAAGTATATTGTTGTTTTCCTGCTCTGTCCATCCATCTGTCTTCAAAGTCCTCTTTTACTTTATTAAAGCAATAACCAATTCATTTTTTGGAATATGATGCAATAAGGAAGATGATATGTGGTGTCCTGTAGATGTGCAACAGGGTTACAGAATTTTGAATTTTGTCATGGGGGCAAAATGGGGTCAAAAAATGATGCTTTTCCCTTCAAAAACCATTTCCACAACTCCCCCTACATTTTAAGCAGTATGTATTTCATCTTTATTTGTAAGATGAATGGGGGTGTTCTGCATATGTGCAATAAGGTTTCAAAATTTTTATTTTCAACCTGGGACCAGACGGGGTTTGATAAACACTGGCACTTGTTTCTGTAATAAATTTTTTAACCCATAGTATATAATAACATGTATTATTATTATACTATGCATTAGAAATTTATTAGAGAAACAAGTGCCTGTGTTGATAAACAACATTTCATAGTTCTAATTTAGGCCATTTTTTTCTCTCTCTCTTTCTTTTTTTCTCTTTACAGAAAAACATTTTTCTGAAACATCCTCTTTTAAAATCTGAATTTACTTCCTCACAATCTTTAATATCAGATTGGAAATGAATTTATTATTTGAAATACTTACATAAGAGGCCCATGGTCATATGCTCACCTGTACATTTTATGCTCAATTTGATACATGTATACATATTTTACAAAAGTTATAGAATAACTTCTGTAGCTCCTTTACTACCTAGGTACAAGGGAGCTAGCATACATGTAGAAGCAAACACTTGCATGCTGGTATTGCTGTCTTATGACAGCATCTAGTACATGTAGCAGCTTAATGTGGTCATGCAAACAGTTCAGTTCTAATGTCTAAAATTTTTAAATAAAATAAAAAAATTTCAATTTGATAGAAGACTTAAAAAGATATTTTTGTGCCAAGACCAAGGAGACATACATGTACATATTTTAATTTTGGCAGAGAGGTAACTGCTAAGAATCATACATACAAATGGTTTGGTGCACATAAGTAAATTGAAGAGGGAGAGTCTCAAAAGTACAAGCATTTTCGATAAACAAGTTTGACTAAGCCTGACTCTAGGGCCTCTTGAACTGTGGACATTTCAAAATCTATCTTTAAATACTAACTCATTCTTATCATCCAAACAGTTTGATTGCTAGATGTTGAACACTGGACCAAGAAGCAAAACATTTCATGATTGTGGGTTATGTACTCATTACAACCATGCAAACAGTTTGCCTGCTAGATGTCCATGAGTAAAGAAGAGGTTTTTCAAAGGTATACTGTATATTCAATATACAATCAACTTAGCCCAATGGTTGGGCTGGCTTTAACTATGGGCCCAGGGGCCATGAATTTCATGATTCCACAGATGACTAGTGTTTATTTATAATGAAAAAATATTTTATGCTTAATGCTCATGAGAAGTGAAGATATTCAAAGATGTAATGTGTTTTCAATATATGACCAACTAAGCCCCACACTGTGAAGGTCTGAATCCAGTGGACATAAATTTTGGTAAAAGCCTTAATCACTGCCAATTATAATCTTGTAAGTAGTTAGATGCTAGTTGTCCAGGAGTAAGGAAGATTTTTGAAAATTGCATTAATTATGATGGTTGGCCACAACCTTCAGGCCCCAGGGAGACAGAGATCATGAAATTCACAATTTTTTTGTTCTTCACCATTTCCCATTGATGCTATGTACCAAAATTTGTTGATTTTCAAGTCATAGGAAAATACATAAAATTACATAGCAAAAGCTGAAGTCCTTTCAGACTTTTCATCTTGAAACCAGAGTTACAGAGAGGCAAAATAATGGACTGTCAGACATAAGGATGGGGAAAACAAGGAACAAAAAATAGGGTGATTATGAAAAGAACTGATACCTGGCTAAGCAACAGGCTTCTTCCTTTAGGCTGGCATCAACGATATGGGAGTGGCCAATCTGTGAAAAACAACCTGAGTTTTAATTAACAATTTATCACACATATTGTAGATGTCAAAACAAAACTGATACATGTTTAAGTATTTAACATGAATTTACCTTACAAACTGTGACAATGCATGGAGCTGATTGCACCTCAACCCTCTGTACATCATATGGATCATCAGAAATTTCCAGTTCTACCAGACCTTCATCTCTACTGACTGTCACTTTTGGAATTCTGGATAAAAAGTTAAAACACTTAGACTAAGAAGTAAAATTTACATTTTAATTATATAACAACAGGTTGTTTTTAAAGAATTGGATCAATGCATCACATAAATTAATAGCTTTACCTAGTGTTGTAGAGGGCTGCCTTTACTGCAACTGATGCAACATCAAACAAGTTTCCTCCACATTCTAGCAACTGAAAGTATAGAATTCCTTTACTATCAAACATAAATGTCATAGAATAATGGAATACAAAACTATTTGTATAAATAGCAAACACTACAAAAACTTTATTATTATTATGAACTTACAAGAACATCTACATATAAAACCCAGCACTGTTCCTCTGGAATGATGCACAATGCTTCCAAATCAAAGCAACTAGGACAGTCATATGTTCTGGTCAGAATGTTTCCAATTTCTGCTGCCAATTCCTCTCCCCCTCTTCCCTCAAACACAGGGGTGGCATTTGCTGAACTGAAAAACATTTGAAATTTATATCTTGTCCCAGAAAAATTGACCATTTTTTAAAAACAATCTACCTTCATAATGAATTTTTATACTGTGGATACTGTATTACAAGTATGTATGATAAATAATACAAGAGGCCCATGGGCCACAACGCTCACCTGAGTCAATATGGCCCTGCTGTTCTTTGTCAGCAGATTTCTTCTTCTATATATTCATACGTAAAGCTTTGATCAACTGTTCTAGGCATAACCTATCCCCAGTTGCCATGTTTTGAATGAAATTGAATCTAAACTTTCTGAGGATGCTTCTATATTCATATAACTAATCATGGTTTTGCTGTTCTTGAAACGGAATTTTAAAGATGTTTGCCATCCTACCCTGGGGGGTACGAAGGGGGGGGGGGGGTTCAAGATTTGAACAAACTTGAATATACACTACCTAAGGATGCTTCCATATCAATATGACTAATTATGGCTTTGTTGTTCTTGAGAAGAAGATTTTTTAAGATATTTCTTATATATATTCTTTTGTTAAACTTTGATCCCCGATTATGGCCCCACCACTACTACTGGAGGATGCCTTGAACAAACTTGAATCTACAATACTTGGGGATGCTTCAATATCAAAATGACTAATCACGGCTTTCCTGTTCTTGAAAAGATTTTAAAAGATTTTTCCTATTTATTCCTATGTAAAACTTTGATCCCCCATTGTGGACCCACCCTACCCCCGGGGATCTTGATTTCAACAAATTTGAATCTACACTACCTAAGGATGATTCCATATCAATATGACTAATTGTGGCTTTGTTGTTCTTGAGAAGAAAATTTTTAAAGAATTTTCCTATATATTCCTATGTAAAACTTTGATCCCCTATTGTGGCCCCACCCTACCCCCGGGGGTCATGATTTGAACAAACTTAAATCTACACTACCTGAGGATGATTTCATATCAATATGACTAATTGTGGCTTTGTTGTTCTTGAGAAGGAGATTTTTAAAGAATTTTCCTATGTATTCCTATGTAAAACTTTGATCCCCCATTGTGGCTCCATCCTACCCCCGGGGGTCATGATTTGAACAAACTTGAATCTACATTACCTGAGGATGATTCCATATCAAAATGACTAATTGTGGCTTTGTTGTTCTTGAGAAGAAGATTTTTAAAGAATTTTCCAATATATTCCTATGTAAAACTTTGATCCCCTATTGTGGCCCGACCCTACCCCCGGGGGTCATGATTTGAACAAACTTAAATCTACACTACCTGAGGATGATTTCATATCAATATGACTAATTGTGGCTTTGCTGTTCTTGAGAAGAAGATTTTTAAAGAATTTTCCTATGTATTCCTATGTAAAACTTTGATCCCCCATTGTGGCCCCACCCTACCCCCGGGGGTCATGATTTGAACAAACTTGAATCTACATTACCTGAGGATGATTCCATATCAAAATGACTAATTGTGGCTTTGTTGTTCTTGAGAAGAAGATTTTTAAAGAATTTTCCAATATATTCCTATGTAAAACTTTGATCCCCTATTGTGGCCCGACCCTACCCCCGGGGGTCATGATTTGAACAAACTTAAATCTACACTACCTGAGGATGATTTCATATCAATATGACTAATTGTGGCTTTGCTGTTCTTGAGAAGAAGATTTTTAAAGAATTTTCCTATGTATTCCTATAAAAAACTTTGATCCCCCATTGTGGCCCCACCCTACCCCCGGGGGTCATGATTTGAACAAACTTGAATCTACATTACCTGAGGATGATTCCATATCAAAATGACTAATTGTGGCTTTGTTGTTCTTGAGAAGAAAATTTTTAAAGAATTTTCCTATATATTCCTATGTAAAACTTTGATCCCCTATTGTGGCCCCAACCTACCCCCGGGGGTCATGATTTGAACAAACTTGAATCTACACTACCTGAGGATGATTCCATATCAATATGACTAATTGTGGCTTTGTTGTTCTTGAGAAGAAGATTTTTAAAGAATTTTCCTATATATTCCTATGTAAAACTTTGATCCCGCATTGTGGCCCCACCCTACCCCCGGGGGTCTTGATTTGAACAAAATCAAATCTACACTACCTGAGGATGATTTCGTATCAATATGACTAATTGTGGCTTTGTTGTTCTTGAGAAGAAAATTTTTAAAGAATTTTCCTATATATTCCTATGTAAAACTTTGATCCCCCATTGTGGCCCCACCCTACCCCCGGGCATCATGATTTGGACAAACTTGAATCTACACTACCTGAGGATGATTCCATATCAATATGACTAATTGTGGCTTTGTTGTTCTTGAGAAGAAGATTTTTAAAGAATTTTCCTATATATTCCTATGTAAAACTTTGATCCCGCATTGTGGCCCCACCCTACCCCCGGGGGTCATGATTTGAACAAACTTGAATCTACACTACCTGAGGATGATTTCGTATCAATATGACTAATTGTGGCTTCGTTGTTCTTGAGAAGAAGATTTTTAAAGAATTTTCCAATATATTCCTATGTAAAACTTTGATCCCCCATTGTGGCCCCACCCGACCCCTGGGGGTCATGATTTGAACAAACTTGAATTTACACTATGTAATGAAGGTTTCCCATAAGTTTCAACTTCTCTGGCCCAATGGTTCTTGAGAAGAAGATTTTTAAAAAAAGACAACAAATTTTCACTTATTCTTAATTATCTCCCCTTGGAAGAGGGCATGGCCCTTCATTTGAACAAACTTGAACCCCCTTCACCCAAGGATGCTTTGTGGCAAGTTTGGTTGAAAATGGCCCAGTGGTTCTGGAGAAGAAGTCGAAAATGTGAAAAGTTTACAGACGGACGGACGGACGGACGGACAGACGGACAGACGGACTACGGACAAAATGTGATCAGAAAAGCTCACTTGAGCTTTCAGCTCAGGTGAGCTAAAAAGTATTTTATGTTGTAAATTTTTTATTTAGAAAAAAAAAGGTTTCTTAAGAACTATGTATTTTTTTTCTGATTTTCTGTTATTTTGTTTGTTTTATATGTTATTGTCTATTTTCCCTTTCAACGGGCCTTATTCTTACCAGTCAACAAAAAACTCAAGCCTCCCTTTATTTGGCTTGTCTGGTGAAGGTTTATCGAGTTCAGCTTTAACTCCAGCAAGAATATCTGTATTTGCCTAAAACAGACATCATATAATATTATCAGGCCTGAGCAGGGTTGTAACCCAAGGGTGTTTGTGTCCGAGGATAACAATCTTACTCATACCTAATAATTTTTTATGTCACCAAGGATTATGGGTTTTAAAAGTATAAAGTAATTAATGTCATGCTTGAAAATAACTCTAGAGTAAGTTTTAAAAATAATTTTATTAAATAAGTCAATATATTTGGAATTGTATGATTTATACACCTACTACATTAAATTTTGGGAAAATCTCTTGGGTTCTCTTTCCCACATACTGCTTTGATACCAAATACTTTCGAAATACCAGGTATGTCAACAGACAACACTGACATCAACATAAAAAGAACAAGGTTCACTTAATGCCTTTTTTGGCCCTGTGAATTTCTGAAAAATTAAAACTGCTCAGTTTCAGTTAAAAATATATATGTAATTTTACTTGGACCCTTGGTGACTGCATATCTATTAAAAATGATTTTTTTTTTTCTCTAGTCCAGGTATTATGACATCATGAATTGTGTCATTATCCTCTAGAAAAAATTCTTCAAAATGGCCAAAAATTTCAGCTGTTTTTCAATATTTTACAGAAACCTCAACCTCTGATCCAAAATGTTCAATTATATATTGAAAGAACTGTTTCTAAAGATATATCCATGTCATATTTTTGGAATCAAGTGGTATGTGAGCTCATATTTTAATTCTTTGCTGAAGGTACTCAAATACATCCATCTTCAAAATTCAAGAATATTGCAATTTCACAAAGCCTGTTTTTCAATATCTAGACTCTCAGAGGAAACCTTTTTTATGGGAAATGAAAGCACTGTAAGTCCCTTCTTTTTATTGATATTTGAAATGGCCGGGACATTGGGACTTGATCAGTTAATTGGTATATGGGCAGGGCCATGTTATAGATAAAGTGAACCTAGCTCTTTATTGTTTATGGATTCTACATATTAATTAACTAATATATTAAGTATCAGAGTTCTCTTGCTTGTGAAATTTTATTGTCACCCTGCATGTGAGGGAGACATCAGGAATTGTCTCCCTGCATGTGACATGCTCTCTATCAATCACATTGGCTGCATCATTCTGAATAATAATAATACAGTTTATGTAATATGTAGTTCTGTTCTGTTATTTTATATTATGTATGGCAAAAAAAATAACACTATACAGGATTAAATAAATTAATTACAATATATTACTAGTATCATACCAGTCTGACACGTGCAGATCCTGTTGTATTGGAAAGCAGTCCAGTTTCTAATTCAATGTGTCTGTAATCTTCACATCCTCTCCCATCTTCTCGACAGTTGTCCTTTCATACAAAGTAAAACACAAAAAAAATAAATCATCATGTGCCAGTAAAAAGTTGGTCTGATGAATTACTACTGTATAGCTTAACAGGAAAAGGACTTGTTAGTTGACAGAATTTGTTTCTGATCCTTCTGTGTATCATAATGTAATTAAAAAACAATAAATATGTTTAAATCAATTCACAGCTTAACAATTATCTCTGAAAAATACTCTCAAAATAAGTATGCCAATAATTCAACATAACAGCTGCAAAAACACATGCTTAAACACATTAAAAAGACAATGGGAACTGGTGACATTTAATGACACCTTTACTGCACAGTGGACGCAAAAGTGAAAAAAAAAAATTATCTCTGCTGTACTGAAGAAATAAGGTATCATTTTAAAACATTTATTGGAATATAAATACAGTTGAACTTCGATATCTCGAACAGTGATATCTCGAATACCATGGATATGTCGAAGTGATTTGGAAGTCCAAACCACTTATTCTTTAAGTATTTGACCTCTGATATCTTAAATCCTTGGATATCTTAAAGTTATTTCTCTGTCCCATTGAGTTCAAGATAACAAGGCTTGACTGTATAGGTTGGTCATGTGATCAAATCCCATAAAGCCCAAAGTGCTTTATGGTAGATTTGATCACATACCAAACTGTATTTATATCTTGAAAATGTTTGAAAATGATACCTTAAACAGGTTTAATACAGATGGTTCAAATAGTGATACATAGAGGAAAACATTTGCAATTTATGTCAATTTTTAAGAAATATAGTATCATTTTAAAACATTTATAGGGATATACTCTTTTCAGTAATTAAAAAACATTACTGTATACGGGAATTTTCACTTGTTTACCCTCTATTCTCATGTTTGCTTTGAATAAAAGATTAAGTGCAAGAATATTTTCACATCCTCTAAATATTTATAGTCTATTAAGTGTGTGTACGCTTAAAACTACAATATTTATCGCTGCAAAAAGAGTGATGAAATGTTTCTATGATATAGATTTCTTACGGAAGCTTATCTGTGTTAAAATTGTGAGGATTGTTGAATACGTTTAGCACTTGCTAACTCGTTCATGAAATTATTCATTCTCATTTAATTTTATATCATTTCTTTCTCAGACATCGTAAATATAATTTTTAATACCACAGCTTCTTTTACGGATGAAAATAATAATTCAAAATATTAAATTTTAAAAGATAGTCATTCAAAGATGGTTTTAGAATAAATGCCCTTATAAGATTCCATATTTTTCGTATCATTTATCGACAGGGAAAATTAAAGTAAAGGTCGTTGATTTCTGCTGCATGTGAGTTTAAATTCCAATGCATGTTCAAAAAGATGTCACCTCCAGAAAACCAAGCTATGAATTTTTCCATTTTTGAACAAATAATAATATACTTATAAGGGAAATATTCATATCGGTTGGAAGAATACTCATGATGTCGTACGATTAAATCTCGCGTTACTCCTTTCGCAGCACTAAAGGACCGAAATTTTTTGTCAGTGAGGCTGCAGGTTTAATCGAGTTTAAACACATCACATCGTATTTTTCATGCACTTTTTATCTAATAAACGGATTCGGGCTACCGTACACAGTAATGTTTTTTTACTGAAAAGAAGAACAATTCCCTTTTAGTGTAACAATTACTGAAAAAAGGAATTGTGCTCAACCTGTTAAATAGCTCAATATGTGTTATAGCGAGTGCAGTGAGCAGTACGAAGGTCTGCTTGTCACTGTGAGCTCATAAAGCAACCTGGGCAAAGAGAAAATTCGGACTTTGCACATTGATCCAAATGAATTTTTTCTGCAGTAACCTGTGGTCCCATAATGCTTTGCGAATTGCATCTCGCCGCAAACTACGTTCTAGCGGTTCCAAGAAGTTCCAAAAAGAAAAAAATATAAACTCATTGATTTAATGGATATATTAATAGCAGATATTAAACAGTAAATTAAACGTCCTTTATTAAAATTAGCACTGTTCAGACTTTGTTTTGGTAATACAACTTACATACGACGTCATGTGATGTCAGAGTCTAGACGTGCCAAATGTCACGTGCGGTTTGAAGAGCCCGATCTAAATCAAAACTGAAAAGGTATCTTTTCAGTATCTGCGCTCGCCCTAACGGTCGCACCGTCAACATATTACAAGGGAAAACATATGCAAATGTAAATACATGTATCTTATGAGTGTCAGACATAAATTTTACTAATATCAGATCTAAAATAATCACTTGGACGCCATGTATAATGTATATTTTCTCAGCATCACTCAAGTCAACCTCTGCCATCTCAAATTTAAACGAAATGTTTTTGAGAACTCGTGTTTCCCTGCAATAATTCAACAGGAAGTGTTAAATACGTCATCAAAATTTGTATTTAAGGAATCGGTTTCAAAATGAGTTATTTTTGTTCCCGTTTTTTACAGTTGCAATTATTAGCATTCATTTGGTTAAAATCTTACCGAAGAGTATTATAAATGAAATTAAGTCTTATACGAAATTTACCAAAGATTTTAAAAACAGATGACAGCATTATTTCCAATTTCATTTATTTATTGTTGTGTTTCCATTTTTATCCGAATATAATTTTTAGGACACTTTACATTTTTATCGAAGGAGAGAGAACATGACAGTGATGACTTGTTGCTAAACATCATTTTTTAGACTATTTGGTTCATATATCAAAGACGATTATGAATGACGAGGATCAATACAAGTAAATGCAATTTTATTATTTACGATTTGCTGAAAAACAGATTAACATATCAAAGCAAATGTCAGAATTTTCTCGAATCTGTATTGTATCACTAACATTTTGCAAGCATTTCTACGATTAAATGATAATCAGAAGCACTCGTTTTTTGTAACCCATACTATAATAATAACACAATGTATGTTTAGTAGTATTAGTAGTACCCCTTTGCCAGTGCATATTCTTTGAAAACTTGTGTAAATAATTACTGCGATACTTTTGAAGTGGGGAAGGGGGTTACTCCATGTAATTCGGAGCTAGATACATTGTGTTATTAATATACTATGGCTTAAAAAAATTCTTACATAAACGAATGCTTGTGATTATCATTTAATTGTAGAAATGCTTGCAAAATGTGAGTGATACAATACGGGTACTACTAAACAGAGAACTCCTAACCTTAGAGAACCCTAATGATTTTTAATTATTTATTGTCTGTAAACTGAAATTTTAAATGACCAATATACAGTGATTCATTTTGGTGTGCGTCCTGCGTAAATTACGCACAAATTTTGCTCAGGACGCATTATTTCAATAAATGTGCATCCCAATGGACGCAATAAATTTATAGAAGGACATATACTATTTTAAATTAATTAGGTATAATCTAATTCAAAACTTGATCGAGTGTATCATATCCACGTGCTAAGCGATATGCATGAACGATTTTAACAGGTATAAGGTTGCCAACAACAGGTCAGATTTCACAACTGCAGTTAAAAGCATATTTGAAAGTTAGATAGCATAGTTCGATTATCACTGATTATGTCTATGCCATGGAACGTTTCTGAAGCGAATACCATACCTTTGTATTTAAGCTGTAACCTGTATCATTGTTTTTTTTTCTTTTCGTTTTTTCCTTACAAGCTAAGAAGTATAAAATTTAATCATTTTTATTTCTGACTATTTGTCATTACTTCTTAAACTTTTTTTTAATTCATTCTGCTTCTGTGCATTTTATGACTCATACCATGTGTGAGATCGTATGTACGATCTAAAAATAGAACCAAAGTGTACAGTGGACAATATGTTATTTTTATGACACAAAATCATGTACTCTTACTTGGACAATTGATAGTAAAAATATAAATCACTCACAACTACAATAAAACTTTTGCACTTTCGTGCAATACCCTTTTTTATTTCACCAGAATTTCCTCTGTTACATCTAATATACGGTACCCTTGGATTTGGGTGCATTGATTTTGGCACGGGACTCATTGTTGTCATTAAGAGGGGTCCTTTGGACCCATGATAACCATTTTCAAAATGAATCACTGAATATATTATACAAAAACAAAGTTAAATTTGAAAAAAAGAATAAATTGCCATGTTTTATGCCTAATTTCAATGGAATACTAATCCATGATGACTTTATCATACACCTTTTGTGATAAAAGTCATAAGAAATTAATTTTATTAATATGTTTTACAACAAAATAAATTGCTTAGAGTTCCTCATAACATAAAATAATATTTAAAAAAATAATATGAAAAAGAATTGTTAAATTGTGTGATAAACTGATAAAATTATCATTTTCAATAAACACCATTTTTGAAATTCAATCGGGATCTAAAACACAAGCAACTTTCATCCTGAAAAGCATTGCAAAGAAAACTTAGAAACAGATTCTATCAATATCTATTTATATGTGCTTGTTAGAGGTATACAGTGATACATGTACATGGATTATATTAATCACAAGGGCTCAAAATACACATATTGTATCATGTGTTTCATCTGGTGTGAATCGTGATACAGTAAAAGTTAATTTTTTAATTTTATTGCTTTGTTTGAGAAATTTATGTAAGACCTAACAAAAAATTATTGTTCCAAATGGCAAAAAATAATTTTGAATAATTTCAATAATTTATAAGTGAAAAGGTGAATTTATTCATTTGAAGAAGCTGTTTTTGAATTACTTCCAATAGTTCATTTTGCCAATTGTGAAATTTGAAGTGCTGAGTCTGATCATTGAAATGGTGATAAATTGCCTCCTGATGCCCCTTATTGAAAGCCCTGCAATGTTGAGATTTTGAAACCACCAGTAATAAACTTTGATTAGCAGTTTTGAGATATTCATTTTATATTTTCAATTACTGTAGAGGTAAACAATAAAACAAAATTGTGAACAGCTGTATCATGACACATTTTCACACTTTTCCAGGGCTAACAATGGCCTTTGATGGGAAAGTTGTTTTTTCTGTATTTTTGCAACTTTTAAGATACATGCATTTAGCAATTCAAAGTTGAATCCAGATTTGTTCTTTTAATTATTTTGGTGGGTTTTATTTATTATGTGATCAGATCTGACAGAATTTAAAGTCATGATACAAAAAAAAAGACCTCAAATTTATGATTGTAAGTTACACCTGTGTAACAAATTTCCTGCTTTCTGTTTAAAAGGTAGAATAGATTAAAATTACAGTAACTAGCATATGTAATCTCAATATCCTATGATGCATAAATTTTTTTTTCAGAAACTAGGTACATGTACAATGACCTAATTGTGATCAAATTGAATCAATAGTTCTTTTTTCTAATTTTAGACGCACTGATGAAGAGGAACCGAAAGGACCTATCATAAAGACACTGAAGTCTAGGCACAAAGGTCCAGTGGAAGATGGGGTCACAACTATAGATCTGGGTCCCTTATGTAGAAAGCTGGGTCTTGCTTGGCTCATGACCAGCCCACATTTATGGTGTGTCAAGGACATTTGTGGATGGGTGTGTGCCGTTTTCACCTGGCTGCTTGTCCTTTATGCTCTTTACGTTGTTAACTTCGTCATGCTGCTCCACAATCCTAATACAACCTGGAGTTTGATTAATGGCATCATATTCCAGTTCTTTGCCTTTTTGGCTGTTGCCTCACATCTGAGATGTATGTTAACAGATCCTGTAAGTCTTATATTTTCTCAAGATGCACAAATTTCTTGTTTACTTTTATTTAAAATGTTGAAGAGCATTTGGTTATGTTGGTTTTACTTAGGGTTAAGGAGAACAAAAATGATACTTTTGAGTATACTGGCAGACAGATAAATGCATCCTTTCATCCAATGCAAAAAAAAAAAATCATAATTACATAAGGCTGGATTAAGATGTATGCCTCTAGAATATGTACAATATATGAAACATAGCTACTTTTTTGTTGTTCTTGTTTTTTGAGGTTTTTTTTTCTTACTGAATGAAATTTAAAATTTTATTTTTACTGTCTCATCTTTTGTATATAATTGTTGGAAATTGGGTAATGTTTTTAGGGTGCTGTACCTAAGGGAAATGCAACTCAGGAAAACATCAAGCGGATGGGGTTAGCTGATGGGCAAGTTGTATTTAAGTGTCCCAAATGTGTCTCCATAAAACCAGACAGGGCTCATCATTGCAGGTGAGTACAATTTAATAAAAAAGAAGAAAATTCTTTTTGTAGTAGAAAATAATGTACATAACTTCATGGTTATCACATGAAGAAAAAAAAAATTTAATTAATGGTCATCTATATTAATACACAATATTTTTTAGTACCCAGTATCTGCATTTGATTTGCATTACGAAAATACACACATGATCAGTAGGATTGAACAGAACTATATTTTGATTTTTTTTTTCAAAGAAAGAAGTGGCATGTTTGATAAGTTGAAATAGTACTGAAATCGGCAGACATTTAAACAGATCATTTATTAACATGTTCATGAATTTTCAGTGTGTGTCAAAGATGTGTGAAGAAGATGGACCACCACTGTCCCTGGGTTAATAACTGTGTTGGGGAAAGCAACCAAAAATTCTTCGTTTTATTCACAGTGAGTTAAAAGAATTCTCTGAATCTTTTTTTATTTTATTTTTAAAATGCAGAAATTTGTATTGAACCTTTCTAAGTTCTTGAGAACTTAGAGTGCACAGGGGAAAAAAAAAAGACTAGTTGGCAATTGTAGTGTAGTACTCTATTCTTAGTATCATATCTTAGATAAAATGTTATCTAATACCTGGGAACCTGGGCTATTAGAACAATAATCAATTGATTAGCAGAGAATAACCTCACCCCCTTTTTTCAACCAATAAAAAATACTTAAGTAAAAATCAAGGTGTTTTTTTTTCTTTCAGATGTATATATGTATAATATCATGTCATGCTCTGTATATGTCCATTCACCATTTTATCACCTGTGTTGGAAGAGAGTGGAAAAGTAAGTGGGAAATAAACTTCATTTAATTTATTACATTTTTAATCATTTTCATTTTGAGATTCATAAATATTCTGAATATGAAATCAACATCCTCAGTAGAATTGAAGGTTAGAATGACAGAAATGATAAAAAGGAGAGACTTTGAAATTCATTTGATAAAGCATTTCATTTTTAATGCTAAATAATTGGGGTTTTTTTTTTTCAGCCTGCTCAGGAGTTTCACCACCAGCTACAACAGTTTTTCTTATATTCCTCATTTTTGAAGCTCTACTGTTTGGAATCTTCACAGCCATTATGTGTGGCACACAGGTGTCAGCCATTTGTTCGGATGAAACGGTAATGTTTCTAAAACTGCTGACTGTGGTTTGAATAAAATGTCAGCATACAATTGCTACATCCATTAAGTAACTTTAATTGAGAAGACGTGAAATAAACCTAATTAATATTTTTTATAAACCCTTTATTATTCAGTATCTCATGTAAAAGGTAAATATAACAGACAGTGATCAATCTCATAAACCCTAAAAATATAATGAATCATAAACTGGCAAAGGTAATGTACCAAGCCTAGCTTAGTCTGGAAGCAAAAGAGAAAATGCAGAATATGACATTGATATAATCATATCTGTGAATCATCTGAGAAAAGAAATGCTCATTGTATATTGCCAAATCTGCAACCCCACTTTATGTTGTCACATGTGCCAAAAAGAAAAGATAAAACACATGTTTGATGGGAAATGCAGAAACATACAATTGTGATTATGATGATGGCCCTAACATGTATATACAAACACTATACTGAAAAAGAAGATTGAACAATTTATTATTAATATTAGCAAGTGTTTAAAAGAGGGTGTTGCAGAAACATGCGATTATTCCCTATATTGAAAAGGAAATTTAGATACCTACAGCACTTGAAAGGTTATCTCTAAATATAGATAAAGCTACATATAATCTTTTTTACAAGAAGGGCCCATTCTTATTTGGGCAAAAAACAATATTTTATTTTTATGCATAGATTTTTTTATCAAAAATTACCAAAGCCAGGCAATCTGTTGATGGACTTTATTAGACTTGTTTATACTGTATAGATGCCACTGCATCCATATAATATGAGAAGGAAGTTAGCAAAGAACAATAAAAAAACATTATATACATGTATGTACAATAAAGCACCTTGAACAGTATTTTTGAAAGATGTAGACAATTACTGTGTGTATTTTTTTTCTTCAGTAAATAAAACTGTGTCCTATAACTATCTTCTGGTGCTACCTCCTACACATTTGAGTCACTTCAATTTAGTCGTTTGAAGTCAGATCTGGGCCACTACTAAACAATAACAAAAATCAACCAAAATTGGTTTTTTAACAAACATGCCTCTTTGAAATGAAAATCTCAAATGTCAGCTTCCCTAATTATGAAAAAATGCATGTTAGTTTATACCAGCTATTCTAGGATTCAAACCTAGGTAATAAAAAAACATCACAATGTATAATGGTCAACCTGCTTAGCCACTTGACTAATACTGGCACAATATACATGCACATTTTTTTTTGTATTTTCTTTGTTGCTTTGCACTCATGAAATATAAAAATCCTGTCCTACTCATAAAATAATTTCCATATCCAACTAAAAACATTGAAAAATCTCTGTATCTGTTTTAAAAAATTGATCATTTACTTTAACTTTAAACTGCTACATCTTTGGGGAACATAACAAAAGAACTGCAACTACTTCTTTGAAAGCACTGATATATAGGTTTTAGGGAATTTAATTCCAAGTATTGTAATTTTTTAACAAATTACAAAATCATGTTCATGGTGAGAAAAAATGTAGAGCCTTGAGTGTGCATGATTTAAAAAAGACCAAATAAACTTGCACTTCAAGACCTGTCAGATTTAATTTATTATTTTATTTTTATTTTTACCTGAGTCAGGTGACCTATTACTATCTGAAAATGAATTAATTCTTCAAAAATCTTCTCTCCCCTGTATATTTAGCAGATAAACTACTTGTAGGTACATGGTCATGATGAGGAATGGTGACTCTTCCTATATGGTGCAATTTGTCGTCCCAGGGTCAGGGGTTATGGTGGCTGGGGATGGGGCTGCTTTATTGGTTACATAGTGAAGTTGCATTAATTCTTTGAAAATGTCCTTCTCTGCTCTGGTATTAGGAGAAAAAAAAGTGAATGGTTATGATAACTAAGGATGCTTTTTCCAAAATTGTAAATTTCAAAGCCCCATAGTAAGGGGTTTAGGGAGGAGGGGGGCTATATGAATTACCGGTATATAGGGAAAATGTATTATTTCATTGAAAATCTTCTTCTCTGATCCTTGGTAAACTAATTGCATAGTTATTATAAGCAAGAACACCTCTTCTAAAATTAAGATTTTCATGGCTCCAGGGTCAGGGGTTCTGGTGGGTGGAGGCTTTATTGATTATAGAGCAAAAATGCATATTTCTTTCATAATCCTCTTCTCTGCTCCTAGGTATAAAGGAAAAAAAATAATAAGTGCATGGTCATGATGAGCAAGGATGCCTTTTCCAAAATTGTGAATTTCTTGGCCCCAGGGTTTGGTGTTCAGGGAAGGGGGGGGGACTTTTTTGGTTATATAATGAAAATACATTATTAGAAAAAAAACTTCTTTCTTTGTTCCTGGGTATTAAGGAAGCTAATCATGCTAATTGCATGGATATGATGGGTAAGATTGCCTCTTCCTATATTGAAAAATTTTATGGCCTTTGGATCAGGGGTTCTGGTGTTACATATATGTAGGATGGGGCTCTATTTATCATATTGTAAAAAATGCATTATTTCTTTGAAAATCTTCTCTGCTCCTTGGTATTAAGCAGATAAACTAAGTGCATGGTTTTGAAAAGCAAGGGTGTCTCTTTCAAAATTCATGGACCCTGGGTTATTGAAAATGCATTAATTCTTTAAAAATCTTCTTCTCTGCTTCTAGGTTTTTAGTAGACAAACTAACTGCATATTTATGATGTGCAAGGATGCCTTTTCCATAAAATTGTGAAATTTTTGATCTCTGGGTTAGAAGTTCTGGTGTTTGGCAGTGCACTATTGTTATATAGTGGAAATGCACTTGTGTATTTGCATTGGCAAGTACAGGCACGTAAATAGATCTGCTTAATATGATTTATGACTGAGTACTAGACTTACGATTTGATCATCATATTTCTTTTGATTTTTTGCAATGTATCTTTGACTGTCTGTTTTTATTTTATTTTATACTTCTATTGATCCTTTACAGTGTTGTATTACTGTTTAGTGGTTATTTAAGCAGGGTGCTAATTTTGGCATTTAGATAGTAGCCCGCTAAAATTTTAATCGCTAAAATATTCCGTACTCTTCTTAGTGTTCATCTGCAAAAAGTTGAAACCCTGTGTCCGCTAAAATAAATTACACCAAAATTATTGGCATACCTTTGAGCAGGCAAAATGCCAAATTTTTCACCAGCCAAGAAAGCCCACTATACAGTATACTCAGGTGACCGTTAACGCCCTTGGGCCTCTTGTTTATTAGCTCACTTGAAGTGAAAGCTCAAGTAAGCTTTTCTGATCGAAATTTGTCCGTTGCCGTCATTGTAAATTTTTCACATTTTCATCTTCTTCTCCAGAACCACTGGACCAATTTCAACCAAACTTGGCACAGTATCCTTGGGTGAAGGGGATTCAAGTTTGTTCCAATGAAGGGCTACTCCCTCTCTCTAGGGGAGATAATTAAGAAATAGTGAACATTTGGTGGTATCCTTTAAAAATCTTCTCAAGAACTGCTGGGCCAAAAAAGTTGAAACTTATGTTAAACCTTCTTTATATAGTGTAGATTCAAATTTATACAAATCTTGAACCCCAGGGGTAAGGTGGGGCCACAATGGGGAGTGAAAGTTTTATACAGTAATACATAGGAAAAAATCTTGAAAATTTTTCTTCTCAAGAATAGCGAAGTCTTGTGTACATGTAATCATATTTATATGGAAGCATCCTTAGTTAGTTTAGATTTAGATTTGTTCAAATCATTACCCCTGGGTGTAGGGTGGGGCGCCCAATGGGGATCCAAGTTTTACGTAGGAATATATAGGAAAAAACTTGAAAATTTTCCTTTCAAGAACAGCAAAGCCATGATTAGTCATATAATTATGGAAGCATCCTCAGGTATAGTAGATTTAGGTTTGTTCAAATCATGACTGCCGGGGTTAAGCTGGAGCCACAATTGGGGATCAAAGTTTTACATAGAAATAGGAAAAAATCTTGAAAATTTTCTTCTCAAGAACAGCAAAATCTTGTGTAGTCATATTGATATAGAAGCATCCTCAGGTAGTGTAGATTTAGGTTTGTTCAAATCATGACCCCTTTGGGTAGGGTGGGGCCACAATGGGGGTCAAAGTTTTACATAGGAATACATAAGAAAAAAAAATTCTTCTCAAGAACATTGAACCCAGTCTTACTAATTCAGAAGCATCCTCAGGTAGAGTAGTGTCAGATGTGTTCCAATCATGTCCCTGAAGGTAGGGTAAGGCCACAATAGAAGATCAAATGTCGGAACCACATTCATATTTAAACTTTTCAATACTGTACTGATACTTTTTCCTAGCCAAAGTGCTCAGGTGAGCAATGTGGCCCATGGGCCTCATGTTTATTTATTATGCCCCCGAATCGAAAGATCCCGGGGGTATATTGTTTTTGTCCTGTCTGTCTGTTTGTCTGTTTGTTTGTCTGTTTGTCTGTCTGTCTGTTGTCAACTTTAACCTTGCCCATAACTTTTGATTGGTTGGAGCTATGACTTTCATATTTCACATGTGTATTCCTTGTGACAAGACCTTTCTTTGGGTACCATCATATTTGACCTTTTGACCTTGACCTTGGAGTTTGACCCACTTTTGCAAAATTTTATGAGACTTTAACCTTGGCCATAACTTCTGAACAGTTGGAGCTTGGGGTTTCAAACTTCACATGTGTATTCTTTGTGACAAGGCCTTCTTTTGGATACCAACCACTTTGACCTTTTGACCTTGACCTTGGACTTTGACCTACTTTTGAAAAACTTTAACCTTGGCCATAACTTTTGAACAGTTGGTGCTTAGGGTTTCAAACTTCACATGTGTATTCCTTGTGACAAGACCTTCCTCTGGATATCAACCACTTTGACCCTTTTGACCTTGACTTAGGAGTTTGACCTACGTTTGAAAAAACTTTAACCTTGGCCATAACTTTTGAATGGTTGGAGCTAGGGCTTTCATACTTCACATATGTAATCCTTGTGACAAGACCTTCCTTTGAATACCAACCACTTTGACCTTTTGACCTTGACCTAGGAGTTTGACCTACTTTTGAAAAACTTTAACCTTGGCCATAACTTTTGAATGGTTGGTGCTAGGGCTTTCATACTTCACATATGTAATCCTTGTGACGAGATCTTCCTTTGGATACCAACCACTTTGACCTTGACCTTGACGTTAGACTTTTATTTAAAAAACTTTAACCTTCACCATAACTTTTGAACAGTTGTATCTAGGTCTTTCAAATTTCACAGGTGTTTTCCTCGAGACAAGATCTTTCTTTGGGTATCAACATTTTTTATCTTTTGGCCTGGATTTTGACTTGCATTTGAGAAACTTTAACCTTCGACATAAGCTACCATACGGGGGCATAGTGTTTCACAAACACATCTTGTTTTATTATTTATTCTTCTTTTTGTTTTTGAAAAAAAAAAAATGTCAGAATAAATTTATAGTCTTTGGGTAAATAGTTTTTGGATAAGTGTGCTCATTTGGAACTTATTCAGTTTAATTTAGAATTTCCTGAAAGGAAATATTTTGCATACCCGGTAATAGAATCAGAACCTAATTCTTGAAAGATGTTAATTTTATGAAATAAATTTAATTTCTTTTTTGCCACAATTTGAAAAGGTTAACATTTTCATTGTTTAACTCTTAAAAAATCAGTTATCTTTCACTCAGTGAACTAAAAATGATCAGTTTTCACTAATCCAAAAAGAATCGTTTTCAAGTTCATGGGAAGTGTGTAAATATTTTGATTGCTTTGTTCCCTGCAGTCTGTGTGTAAAGAAATTGTTTCAAGGATATGACCCATGTTTTTGTAGTGCAAACAAGTGGTTCCATGTTATTCTGTAGTGTTTTACCTCAGTTTTTTTAATATCCGATTGAACTCAGACACAAATGCAAATGAGCTTTTGTAGTAAGACTTCCATGACTCTAAATCTTTCTCTTTTTTCATATTTCTTGATAAAATACATGTAAATTAATTTTTTTGGGATTGATAGTTTTTTTTTAATGATTCTAAAATAGTAAGAAACTGAAACTTGCAAAGAAATACAAGATTGTCCATAATTGCTCCCAAGTATTGAATTGACCTTTCTGCTCTTAAGATCAGAGTTATTGATCATTTCAAATATCCTTCAGCAAAATTTCTTCTTGATGTACATTTGTATGCAATTATGGACATGTGGGTTTTATCAAAGATTCACTATTATTTCAATTTTTCACCCATTTAATGTCACTAGACAGAGCTGTAAATGTTCTTTATCACTTGTTCTTTACAGGGAATTGAAAGTATAAAGAATGAGACATCTCATCAAAAGAAAGGTTATTGGCTAAGCCTGAAAGCCACTTTTGGCCACCCCTTTACATGGAAATGGTTTTCTCCCTTCAGCACACCAAAGTTTGCATATTCCACACCACACCTACATTGTGTGTAACCAAAGGAGTGGCATATCAAATCGATCAAGATAATCTACAAACAAACGTTTTCTATGTCCTATTTTAATTTTTATATTTTTGTATTTTTTATTGTTATGGGTTATATTTATGTTGCCATATTAATTTTGATGACTCATGTCATGACTCATGTACCATATATTGACTGAATGAAATATTCCAAAATAATCTTGTTATGTAAATTATCTCCCAGCACCTCACTCTTTATTTTGAATGTTGGTGCAATACATTTATGCTGCATATTGTCTTAAATTCCCAAAGGTTTTAGACAGATCGAGGCAGTGGGACATGAATTTGTAGATACAATTAGACTGTAGCAAATAAATCTGTGCCTGCATTACTGTGGAACCGTCATTGTTCTTGGCAGATCAATGTCACAGATTTTGTACAAATTTACATTCCCATGAACAAACATTTTCAAAGTATTGACTCATTCAGTCTTCTGAATATACAAGTTACCCACAAAATTATATCCCCACAAACGAGTAAAACTTTGGTTGCTCCAACTCCCAAAAATAAAAACGAATCCATAGTATTTATTTTGTAGAGGTTATAAAAAGCATCTAATTTTAAACATATTGATGCAGTATTAAATAAGATATGCATAGTTACCCTTGTTTTTTTTTTTTCACAGAGTATATTTTAAAAAAAAAATGATGTATGGTAAAATTTAGTTTTACCTTCAAAGGTAGCTCAAATTTTTGCTCTCAGTTAAGGATACCTGCTGCTCAACCAGGAACAATAACTTAAAATCACCATTCAATTGAGGAAGTTTCAAAATGAATCTTGAAATTAAAATTTTTTGACGATGTGCAACAATTTTCATTTCATGCATCTTAGTTTGATTCAATATTCTTTGAAGTCTAAGAAACAAGTTTAAGAAGACTTCGAGCCCCAAAAATGTGTGTTCAGAGAACTCCAATCGAATTTCCTTTAATTTTGCCTTAGACAGCAATGTTTATTAGCATGAAGTGAAATTGAAAATGATCTGTGATATCTTGGAATTTTACACAATGTTTTATATTACAATTGAATTTATTAAAACTGAAATAACGCACAAGTATAAGAGACATGAAATTTTCCAGAATGCATGGATACCTATAGGTTTTTTTAAATCCCAAAATATACTTATATTGATAAAATTTCAATTAGAAAATGCACAATTGGTGCTTTTATTTACGTTTCCTGAAAAAATGAGATTTGATAATTTTCCCTATATGATATGATCATGGGTATATTCACATTACTCTATGAATTCAGTGACATTTTTTATGAGCAGTTATAGTTACCATACCTAACTGCTGATTTTTAGAACCTGAGGAACATCCTATTTAATCAATTTTATTGAAGATAGGAAGTTTTATATGTAATACATGTATGTATTTGATCTTTTAGGATTTTACATTGAAAATTGAGAACAAAGGGCCAAAATGTTTCAACTCAACTGCTAAGTTTATATGTAGCATTGGGATTTGCATGAAAATTTACTTACTCTTTTAATGCTGATCATTAAAATAATCCTTGATATGCACACATTTAGGTCTATATGGTATGTACAACTGTATTCCATATCTACATGTACTTAATCAGTTTTACTTATATAATGAAAGGACAAAAGAAATGATATATCAGGAACATTTCTCTGCAAATCCATGCAGATCAACACTAACTAATGTTAAAGCTACTCCTTTCAAAAGCTAAAGATGTGACAGGTTAAGATATACATTTGAGTTTTTCTTTGTAATATATACCACAGACACATTGTAGATTATAAATGTTGTAGTTATGTGTAATGTGACATGAATTGGATTTTACTAATACTTGATTTTCTTAATTAACATAAGTTTATAATCTTAATTTTATGTTTGTTTGCTTGACTAGATTACTTGTTTTGAGGAGAAGACATGAAAATTAAACAGATCTGAGTTAAAGAGCATCAAATATATACACAGACACTACATTAGTTTATATTACTGCACAGGTCATATGTAATAAGTGGTGTGTATCATGAATTATTCTTCTGTTATATTAAAAAAACTGCTGTCTCTGTTGAAACATTGAAGTTGATGTGATGTGAAATTAACTTGTTAATTTATTAAATATACATTAAAGTATTAGACAGCTTGAATTATTTTTTTAGCATACTTGTGAGGTTATATGTTTGGGAAGTTGCTGTCATCCATCTAGCTGTCTGTAAATGCCTTTTTGAAATGCAGGTCTGCAGTTTTGGTCTTATTAATAAAAACTTCAGACATAAGTAGACTTCTTCAAAATACATCATTTGGATTTATGATGAACATTTATGTTATTTTCAGTAAAAATAGATAATTACGTGATATTGTTTGAAAACTTTTCTCCTTGTTCAGATTTTGTGCATTTCTTAAAAAAATTACTTGATACACATTAACTACGTAGCAACAGGACACAAAATTCAATTTAGTTTTAATTTCAGTGAAAGTATTACCAAAGTTATAACTAACAATAGAATAATGTGCAAAACTCTTTCAAATTGCTACTCTGACCTCCTACAGGTTTGGTTTGATTTCAAGAAAACTTAGTACAAGTACATATAGAAAACATAAAGATACACAATTGTAAAACTACGAAAAAAATTATGTGCAAATGTTTTCGTCCACTATTACTAACCAGTGAACTACAGTATCATCAGAGACTTGTCGTTTGAGACTACACAATGAATATTGCTTATTTGTTGACTCTTACACAGCTTTGAAACAAGACTAGAGTCTACAAAATTTTATCATTATCTTGTACTTATTGTGTGTGGCGCAGCATTGGATTGTTTATGGATATTGTTGATGAATTTTGTTTATGAACTTTGTCTTGTAAAATCATACTTATGCCTTGATTTCGATATGTACATTTGATATATCATGCGTAAAAGGAGAATGCTTGTCATTCAGTACTTTTGCAATTGTGAGTAGCACACAGAATAACGAATATATATTGACTGAAGCGTCGCCCAGTATACATGTAAAAAGGCGCCACACTCTTGAGACTATAAGGGACACTAACTCTGTAAGTTTGTATGGCGTTCCTTGGATCATCCTTTGGAATATTGAATGTATGTCGATGTGCAGTCATCAGATAACCAGTTTTGGTATAAATCCGACAATTCATACAAAAAATTGAATGAATATAAAGTTTCAATTAGAGATTATGATGGTTCCTTTTCCGGACACCATGTCTTCTATTTCTTATTGTTTTGCCAAAAACTGCAAAACGTGATATTTTGATTACAAATTACTTATTTATTACTAATATCACTGAACAAGGTTTCTATACCAAAACGTGGGAAGACCAGAACAGCAAATATTCTTATGTTGTTTACAGAGTAGAATGTTTCCTTTATGGACTAAATTCGTTGAAACCAAGGGTTCCCTAAATGAAATAATATCTAGGGGTATAAATTTCAAATCAACAGCGGAGGCCAGCAGCTTCTTTACAAGCATTTTAAATTCTGACCATTCCATTTTCGGCTTGGCCAAAATCAGCTGCCCATTCCCAACTAAATGATGTTATATAGAGGTAACTCTTTTTAGTTACATCTAATCTAAATGTCTTTTGTTGCATTGCAAAGATCAGAATGAGAGCTTTCCATTGGTATATAATATCATATATATAGTATCTGCATTTTTGAAAAACAACAGAATAAAGTCAAAGATTCATAACTTTTGAAGCGTTATGCTGTTGCACTTGATTTTTTACATTTTAAATAATGGTTAATTAAAATTATTTTGAATGAAACATTCCAAAATAAATGTACTTTATTATAGAGAATTCATTCTGGTTAAGTTTATTTTTTACAGAAAAGAAAAAGGATAAAAATTGTGAAAATTATGAATAAATGTGTGCAGATATACCTTTGTTATATACATATGTAATTTAAGATTGATCAATGTTTGAATAAATGCATGATTTCTATTAAAAAAAGAGCAAATATATTATGTTTAAAAATTTTTATTTAACTTGAGAAAAAAAGTACTATGAGAAAATTATAGTAGTTATATTGTAAAATGTGTGCGCATTTTATATTTTATTTTCCATACTGGTCTCATATTTTGTATAGTCCGTAGCCCCATATTTCATTATAGCTTGTGTTCAACAAAAGAATGTAGAATTAATCATGCTCTTGTTTAATATTTTCACAGTTACCAGTAAAGTAAAAAACAGTAATGAATAGGTTTTGCGCTAACACCAAAAGAAGTTATAGAAGAATGATTGGAGTCCGTAGCCCTGTATAGTCCGTAGCCCCAATATAATAACTTCCAGAAAAAGTCATATACATTATTGATACAATAACTACAATACAAAAATATGTTTATTAGAACAATTGCAATGTTTTAAAATTCAAATACCACTGTAATTAAAAATAAATATCTGAAAATTAACATTTTTCAACTTATGGCTTGCTTCTGTAGTCTGTCCTTTTATGTTTGTGATCACAACATATTTCTAATTATACATGGTAAAGTTTTCCTTCTTGTGATACATAGTATCAATCCATTTGCAATGATTAGCATTGGAATATTTTTAAAAGAATATTTAGCCACACAAATCCTACTTACAAAAGGGCTACGGACTCTACAAATAAATTTAGCAAATTTACGGACCATGCATATAACCGTACTTCTGGATTAGCAAGAGATTTTTTTTCCTACTTGTATCTACTGCAAAATGGGGATTCAATGGTTTATTAGTTCTCATCGACCAGTCTTAACATCCCATTGTGGGATTTGATCCCAAAACATAAGGATCAACTCCTTACTTTGCAATTTAGTACAAAGTGAGGCCTTCACTCTTATAATTACGCCACCCAATCTAATTGTCACTGAATTGTTAATTTAAAAAAAAAGCATTGATTCTTTATGGGTAAATATTGTACTATTATGTTTTTTACTTCAAATGGTCAATCATGTTTGCAATTTTTTTTTAATTACACCATATGATTATGAAAAATTATATACTGATACAATTTTGAATGACCATCTTGAGTTATATGCATTACATTAAATCGAAGAAAATATGAAGCAATATAGTCCGTAACACCCCCCCCCCACCACCACCACCACCACACACACATCATGCCTTAAATTGATTTAATTTCAGCTCCTGTTGCTTTTATTCATTATAGTTTGAACACCAATTATGCTTTGATTAGTTGAACTGGATTTTCATTTGGAATTGAAAGTAAATATTACTTTAAACAATCGATTTTTAAGTATGGTATTATAAATACTCCAACTAAGTGGTGTGCACTGTTATAGAAAACCAATTAATAAAAAAATTGCCCAAAATTGAGTTAAACAATTATATTTTCTTTAAGTTGGTTGTCCACAATAGAGACATCTAACGGTATAGTCCGTAGCCCCCATGCTCACATGAAATTCATCCTTCTTAGATGCTAAATTAAAGCTCAATCTTGGTCTTTAGATGGTTTTAAACAATATTTTATTATCAAATCACCAATTACATGTAATTCTGACATGTATTATTTTGTTCTGACTATTTATAGTTTACTCTTATTGTGAATTTATACAAAGATTTTGTTTTATTTTGTTAAATTTCACAGGATTTTGTATAAATTGATTTAATATCCAAATGAAAGGATTTATCAAACACGATGATAATTTTAACAAATATTTACTAAAAAAAGCAACTATTTTTCTATGGTCTCTCATTAAATGAAAATACTATTATGTATAGTCCGTAGCCCAAGGTCTCAAAATAGTCAATCAAAAAATATCTGACACAGTTTTTCTCTGAGTATTACCAAATATGTTTGAAATTTTCATCCCCATATACAGTATCTTTAGAAAAATTGAAAGTACTTTAATGTATTTTTATTTCAAATGTCCAAATATTAAGAGTAGAAAAACTCTCAAAGATTAACAAATTTACCCATGTCCTCTATATACGGTAACATTTAAATGGAAATGAATTATGTGATTTTTTTGCTCAGACAATATTTTGTGAAGAGTTTGTATTTGAATTATACTTTTTTGTTAAGTTGAATATGATAAAGATAAATGTTATGCCTGAATATGTATAGTCCGTAGCCCACTTGGGTTTCTGCTATAGTAAGAGTGAAATCTTTTTAACCGCTCGACAGAAATGGACAAAAATTTAAGACAATCTGCCAAAAGGATGTAGTGTTACATAGAACATACTTGTAATACATTTCATTTGACTTCATTTTTTTTGTTAATCTGCAACCAACATGGGCACCTGATCTTGGCCAAGCCGACTTTTGAAAGAAGAAAATTATTAATTACTGTAAATGTTATTATAACAAAAAATGTGACCGAATACACTTCTGTCAATTTGGCAAGTTGAGCTACCTGAAAAAAAATTGATGCTGCATCTGTACATAAATATATACCACTGTACTTGTGAATTTAACCTTTTAACACACAATTTCATGCAGCAATATCCTTCCGTTTCCTTTTCATAAAATTCATATTTTTAAAAAAATTTCCGGAGATAACTGTGAAGCAACGCTAAAGGAAGATAGTTGCTACGAAACATACATCTTATCTTGATCAGGATACATCGTGTTACACTGTACTTATATTCTGTGCGTGAATAAATAATCTAATTTCCTAATAAGAAGTTAACAAAATTTTGTTAGACGTAGAGCGTATTTACTACGAAAGAAAATAACGAACCCGATTTTTAAATGAACGGTATAACCCAGAAACGCTACCAAGGAATTCCGAATGCAAAAACATTCCTTGTCATCCAGGTGCGTGTGGATATCAAGCGTTCAATTTATTGTGTTATTTATAAATAATGTAAACTAAATAAATATGTACATTTGTATGAGAGAAATTAACTTGCCCGATCGGACAAGTACGTCGACAATTTCACTTGCCCGAACTGAGAATTTACTTGTCCCGGGCAATCGGACAACCGTTAATGTCGATCCCTCCACGGTCTATATCATATCCGCACCAAACTTTACTCTGTTCCTATGAACTTTTTAAAGGTATATTTGAAAAGGCCAAAGAAAGTACATAGTTGCATTCATCATTACCAGAGTACATGCTGGATTCTGTCATTATGGCTATTGCCAATCATAGAAATTTTTGCGGAAGACAAGAATTCTCAAGAAATCCGTCTGTTCTTTAACATTAATAATATTCTTGATCACAAAAGGGTCCATACTTGTATTCCCACATAATTCAAATTGAGGCCTACATATTGTATTTCTTACAAATATTCATCGACAATTACTTCCAAATTTTTTAATTACAAAAAAAAAATCTACAGTGCCAAAGATATTGAACATCTGACACATAATCCTCCTACGAGTTCATGTTCTTCTCCCATCAACTATAGTCCTACTGGACAGGTCATCACTGGTGACGTGAGTACAGTTAACAATGGCTATCTTAAATCACTTATTTTAAAAGTACCAAATTTTAGGGATTCTCCGTCTTTCAACTAGCGTCAAAATTTCGTAAATATTATGGATTCTGTCGAAGATTATGCCAGACGGGTCGGTCAAATATGAAAAAAGACCTTCACACTTTGGCAGAATGTACATGTACATGTATTAAAAGTATATGATGGATGCTGAAATAGACCTTCAACTTTGGCAGAATGTATTAAAAGTATAAGATGGATGTTGAAACGTTGTGTTTGTTGTTTAACGTCCCTATCGAGAATTTTTCATTCATATGGAGACGCCACCACTTGCCTGTGGAGGGCTGCAAATTTAGACCTTTACTAGGCACTCAGGACCATTGAGCATTGAGGGATCTTTTCCGTGCCAATTTATACGGTCTCATCCGAAGGACCGAAAAATATGAAAACCGTTTATCTTTTTGTCTTCGATAATTCAGAAATGAAAAAAAAAATATACATTACACGATCTGTACTGGTCACATCTGACAAATATGAGGCGCTGTTTTGGTATTTATGATATCACCTTAGTCCTATTCGAAAAGGTGATATCATCTATTCACCAATTCAAATCAAATAGGTGATATCACCTATTCAAATGGGTGATATCACCTATTCGAATGGGTGATATCCCCATTTCAAAAGCTCAATGGGTGATATCACCAATTCAAAAAGGTGATATCACCAATTGAATAGGTGATATCACCTATTCGAATAGGTGTACACTTAATGGCAGTAAATACCAAAACGGCCCCCATAGACAAAGCAGGTAACAACATAATCTTTCTTTGTAAGGCTCTTTATTACAATTGAATTTTTGAGGACCTTGGACTTAATTCTACATGTTGTAATCCAACTTGTACCCGAAGTTCCCTTTCTAAGGAGGAACTTTTACACAAAACCATAGACCACTTTAAAAAATAAATATTCCCAATATCCAAATTGAATTTGAATTACCATACCTACACTGTATACTTAATTCCTAAGCTTCATAAAAATCCTTACAAAGATACACAGCAGATTCTAGCAAATGTTCCACCAACCCTTTTTCGATCATTACTCCTCACAAAAATATTAACAGTTGTGAAACTTCAGGGGTACTGTACAACAACATATTCGAGAATTGATGCACTTATGTTAATCAGATGTGAATTCTTAAAAACTCCAAAAAACTTAGAAATTTAAAATTTTACCAAAATCAATAGCATCAAAACGTACGGCTTTTCAATTCTTTATACAGCTATTCCCAACGATAAATTAAAGGCCATACTTTTTTCACATCAGATGTTTCTTCAATAAAAATGGAATTTGTAAATTTGCATACTAGAACCTTGTCAGTCATTCGTCATCTTTTGTTTAAAAAACATTCTGATATTCTACACAGGTACTCCGAAGGTGATTTTAAAAAAGATGCTTGAGTTTTTCATGGACAAGATTTACATAATATACATATACATACATGTAATATGTATACATACATAATATGTATGTGGTTTTCGGAGACCAGGTTTTCCAACAATCTGTTGGAATTCTAATGGGTACTAATTGTACCCTGTAATTAGCAGACATGTTTTTGTATTCATATGAAGCATAATTTATTCAAAAACTTCTTCAGAAAAACAAGAAGTCTTTTGTTGTGACCTTAAATTCTACATTTAGATATATCGACTTTTTATTAATTAATAATATTCAGTTTCATTCCTACGTTTATTTCATATATCCCATTGAACTTGAATTAAAAGACACCACCGAGTCTGACACATCTGTTTCATATTTGTATTTTACCAGAGAAAGACATTGATGACAAACTGACAATTAAATTTTATTATAAACTGATGACTAACTTTTTTATCATCAATTTCCCTTATTCATGTTGCAATACATCATTATCACCTACGGTGAGTTTAGGTCTCCCGGTTGATTCGATACGCATGACTAATAATTTCTAAAACGAGGCAGGCTAGATTGACAAATGAGTTGATGATGCAAGGATATCAACAATCTCCTTTAAAGTCAACATTTCGCAAATTCTCTGGTCGACACAATCGCCTTGTCTGCAAATACAATCTATCGATGGTCAATGTTGACAGACATCTTTCATACAACTGATTAGGCCATTATGTCTAAGGATTTTTCTGCTTTCTTGACCATGACAAGGAGCACACGGCGGGTGTGATTGGTCAGCAGGGGATGCCTACTCCTCCATGGCTTGTTTAAATGGACCTTTGACTTTGAACTGATCACTGTTCGCTATCTTCGTATGTCACTGTAAAAGATTTCATGAATGTGTATATTGTTGAAACATCTTATATGACCAAATGTTAAGTTTACTTTCAATTGTTAAAATTGAGGGATAACCACACAATTTAAAAGAATGTTTCATGAGACCCATCACAGGCTCAAATTCTTTAAAAAGTACCTCTGCTCAGCTTTGTGAACGATGTTTTGCTAGGGTCTACGCTCCGTTTTTTTCAAATTTAACTTGGAAAGGTAACGCAAACCCTCAAAGGAAACTATCACTAGTTTTGGGCCATTGACAATTTTAGCATTTCAATACTTTTGGCTTTGAAGAAGTATTACATATGTATAACATTTGTATATCTAATTACTTTCCCGGACAAAACTGCCTTTATTTATTTAGAAAAGCTAAACAATATATACATGTACTTTAATACTTTAATTCAAGTTTATTGCCAATTCCATTTTGATTCTATACACCATAGTTAAAACATTGTTAACAAAGCATGCATTCAGAAACACTAGGCATTCACACGTAGTCTCCAATTCATACTAGTATCAATTTTCACATTAATAATGGGGCCAAAACTGTAGTTCGATCTTCATAATAATATATAATAACATTCAAATATAATATAACATTCATTATTTTCTGAAATCTATTTTAAGTATTTGGCCCCTCTACTTTCATTAATTCTGCCGAGTTACTCAAAAACTATAAGTCAGTATCACGTGCAGTCAGAAACATGTGCAGTCATTACCTAATACTTTTGCCATTTATGGCACCATTCGATTGAATTGGCAAGAACAACATTTTATAACAGGTAAATCGATTACAATTTAAAACGAACATTCATTTCCCTGATTCATGTAAACCTCGAGCAATGAAATGAAAGTAAAATCATGTACAATACTATGCTACGACTCTGCGCAAGATATTTTTTGATGAATTATGATAACTTAAAGCCCATCAAAGACATCACGAATTCAGAGTTTTTCAGAACACATTATTTACGAAGAATACCCAGTTCACAAAGATTTAAAGTTTTAAAATGATATACAAAAAATTGAGATGATTCTTATCTAACAATTCAAATAAAATTTATAAAAAGTGAATAAAAAATCCCGTGAAGACGACAAAACATCATATAAGGCATTCAAAAAAAACTTGTGCGAAAAAATTATGATTTTGTCGTAATATGAAATATAATTATGTTAAAACAAAGACATAAATAACATTATGTCGCTTGTGTAAAGTTGACAAAAAGACAAAAAGAAATGAAACACAAATTAATCCATCCATTGGATTGATTTCGTCATAATGGCGAAGACTCTTTGAACAAGTCCAGATTGATGATGACTCGTTTGCCATTCAACAGAGGCGAGGACGTGGGGGAGGTTTTCGGAGATTCTTTTTGGGCCGCCTCCGTCATGGCCGACAGTTTGTGTTGTAAGTGACGGTTTCCTATCTTCATATTTCGCTGTTTTAGTGTTTCTAACTGTGTGTAAAGACGTCGAAATTCCTCCTGGGAAAAATATTGAAAAACAAGCTTATTTGTATAAATGTAATTTGTGAATTTCTAAGAAATGAAAAAAAACACACTATCAATTCATAGAATTAATGTAAGGCATTAAATAACGGAACACTATAGGTCTGAGATTCAAGTAAATTTAAAATACTCATACAACATTACTTTTTAGCCCATGTTGTCTCCAGATCAAGTGTCTCTTCAATACACTATTGTTTACTTATTGAAATCCTGGAAGTTTGGGATGGGGTCTACCCATTATACTAAATTTTCGTACATTTACGACAGTGTTTTCCCAGTTTACCGCTAAATTTTGACTTTTATGTTAACGCAGAGATTTATAGAATGTTTCTTCCAGGACCAATCGAAAACATTCCTGCAAATCTAAGACTGAAAAAAATTACAAACCTTTTCCCTGTGTATCTCCCTTTTCTTGCTTACATCAATTACAATTTAAGAAAATGAAAAAGGGCACAATATATATGTACATTGTATGAAATCCGGATAGGGCCAGGTAGTTCACCATTGCACTATTGCACATCGACAACTGGATCGATGGAACGGTGGTGCAATGGCGATGACCTGCCGGTGAGATGGCGCGATGACGCTATAAATGTTATGACGATGAAATGAAACGCAACAGAGCGATGCCAAACCTCGCTTCATCGTCCTCGCACCATCACCATCGTATTATGGTGTCGTCGAGCTATCGCTCCGTCTTGCAATCGCACTGTCATCTTCTAAATCTTGAATTTACTGGGTGGGAGTAAGTACAAAATTTTGTCATGTTCTAAATTTTTTATTTACTCCCACCCGTCATATTCAAAATTAAAACCATGGCAGCGCCATCGTCATCGCATTATTGCATCATCGACCCAAACCTTGATTGCGCGTTGGTGCGCTACTAGTAAAAGGACTTATTCCTAATCCACAAATGTGTATGTTTTCAGTGATAACTAAAGAAGCAGTATAAAAAATAAGCTACTACGAATATCCTTTACTTACTTGTATATCTTTTTCCAGCAGACTGTCACATTCAGTGTCATCATGTCTGTCTGTATATGTGTAGCAGTTTACATTATTGGAATGGGCACTACCCATGTTTACAGATTGTTTGGCGTTGAACGTTGACTTTGAACCTTTGTTCAACATGGTCGTGTGAGTACCATTACTTTCACCCTTTTCTCTATATTTATACACTAGATACATCTGCAAAAAAAAAAATTGGTGAAAGAAATATATGATAAAAATTGTGGAAGTAGATAATTTTTTCATATAGAACACATACAAGTTTGGATAATGGAAATAGACTTGAATGTCTTTCTTGTATTTGACTTTTGAAGAGTATTATTTGCAGTCAAATATCATCGTGTTTTTAAACATGGTAAAACTGTTTTTGACGATCCTAGTATATGAAGCTCAATTATACTTTAATTTGTGAAGCACTTTTAGATTAAAATTTTGCAAACAAATAATTTATTTAGCTGTAGCATTTCCACATTCATACAAAAACAAATGCACCACCAGCGAAAATAATAGGAATCTTTTTTTTTGGCGAAAAGTTTCAGGAATTTCCATTAAACATCAAACTCATTCTTCATTGCTTTTTTTTTTAACAAAAATTCGTATAGAGGGAGAGACAAGGTCTATCATATACAATGTAATCGATATATTGAAAAAGTGAAGTTAAGGACATACGCAACGTACATATACACAAACCTTACAACGTACATACCTACTGATAATTTTTCAAGATATTCTTAATTTTAAATTATAGTACCATTACAAGTTCGTAGACAAAAAATTAGCATACATTACCAGGGATTTTGAAAAGATATCAAATGATAAAAATCCTTGTATTTTTCGACAAAAAATTAACAGAAATATAGTTGTTTGTGATTTTTCTTTACAATTTGATTTAGAAGAGGTGTACTTAAACATTAGGAATAATATTAGCCACACAAAAGTGTATCAATTATTGAAATTTTTAAATTATACAGGGAATGAGTAAATACAGCTCAAAACTACGTTGCGTGTGTCCTTATTAATTACACAAAAATGTCAATCAAATTAATAGCATAATCTAGTCTTACCTTACTCCCAAACAAAAATGTGAGAGTAACTGTCGTGGTTAATTGTGTGTGGATAAAGATCACTAAATACATTAAATCAGGGTTGGCAGGAAAGGGATCCTGCAGGAAAATCCTATAAAAACATATTATGTAATTAATTTTGCATTTCGTTATACTTTTTTCTTTTTGATTTTTATTGACATGCAATCTGAACGTATGTAAAAACGTAATGTGGTCAATAGTCGTAAATTGAAAAAAAGAAAGACTTGTTATATACACCTTTTATGAAAATCAAACAAGCTTTTATATTTAAGTACTAGTAAAGAGGTTTTCATATATTTTGCTTAATAAATGACATGTACTTATAATACATCATGCTTCTGATATAAACGACAAGCCTTGTTCCAATTATTAATAAAGTTATCACCCACCAATGACACGATACTGTAAATGAGCAAATTTGTACTCTCTAATGATAAAATTTTCAGCTAGCACCACACCAACCACTTATTATAATTCCTCATCTAATGAAGCAGTTCATAACTCTGTGAATGGTAAAATATGACTCTGTAGTAACCATTAATAATAATCTCCACTAATGATATCATATAGCTTCATTTTAGGGTTTTGCATCCATTAAAAATATATTTCTATCTTTAATCATAATTTGACGAATCTGTACTTTTTTTTTTACAAAAAGAATTATTTCTTTAATAAATGACGTCGCTTCCAGTAAAAGAAAGAGTTCGTATCATTGTTGGACGTTTTTGTGTTTGTTAATATTGCAGTTGAAAGATCACCATTAGTGCAATATTATATTATATTATTAATTGGCAATATACATGTACATGTATTTATCACCAGTAAGTTACCACAAGTTTTATACTAAGATACGTTTTTTATAATTCTTACTAATCGCTGGACATGTATAAGTGTTATCAATGTTAACAAATATTCTATTAGTTGGTGCGGATCCATCTGCCAAATGATATATTACATTCATTTTAATGTCAACCGTCACGGTAGCTCAGTCGGTAGAGCGCTCGCTCCGTGATCGGAAGGTCGTGAGTTGGAATCTCGGACGCGACTGACCAAAGTCGATAAAAAATGGATAGTAACTGTTCCTTCGCCAAGCTCTCTGCACTTTGAAGTGAAAGTTGCGGGTCTTTCGGACGAGACCTTAAAAACCGAGGTCCCATGTCACGACAGACGTTGACACGATAAAGATACCTCACTGTTCAATGGCCATGAGTGCCGAGTAAAGGTCTAAATTTGAAGCCCTTCAATGGTATATGGTGACGTTTCTATATAAGTGAAAAATTCTCGAATGGGACGTAAAACAACACACAATCAATCACTCAATCATTTTAATGCCACGAGTCGTTGTTAAACATCAAAGAGAAATGCATTATAGACCCTATCATACGAATGCAAGTATTCTTTGACTGAGCAAGAGGTCAATAGGCCACGAGATTTCAAATGAGTCATTTTCTTCTTATGCAAGAATGATTAGTTTAGAAATAAAACGAAACCTTGTTATTCTTACTAGAACGTTCGTTCCTCATATTCCTTTTTAAAAATCTTATTGTACCTCTGATGCCCAATCCTTTTTTAACATAAATGAAAGTTTTTCCAATTGTAGGTCAATAATTATAAACTCTGGTTTTCATGATCTAAGAGGGACTACAGTAGAGTTAGATTTAAAATGGTTTCCAAAACCCAAGAGGGATTACAGTAGCGTTCTTTTTTTGAGAGGTTTTTCTAAAAGAAAGAGCTACACTTTTGATGATGGTACATGTAATCTAAATAAATTTAATTTGTTCCCATTATGACCGCCGACTCATATTCCAATGGTGATACATTACACAAAATGGAACCTACACATGTACATGATGAAAATTATTTTGACAAAATGTCATGAAAAATGTATTTTCCGATTATTATTATTTTTTGTTTAATCCCTTACACAAAAGTTGACCATTCCTGTGATCAAACATGGCCCTATGGAATATTTTGTAAGAATATAACCAAATATGAATCGGAAATATGAGTTAGTGTATTGATTTCATGACGTGAAGATTTTTATTGCGCACATTCTTTTGCCTAACATTTGATGACACAGCGTCACTCTTGTCCGGGGAGGGGGAAGAGGTGCACGTCATGGCCTTAAAAGCTTAATTTACATAACAAATAGAAATGTTACCATGAATTGTCTAATTTTTGTACTAATTATTTTATATCTTGTTTGAACAATAATTGTTAATCCCCATTACCCATTGACATTTGACCTGATGATTTCAGAGAAGCAAAGAATGTAAAACGATGATATCATGTGACAGCTAGACGAAGGACAAATAGTAATCAGAAAAAAAAATCTAAAGAACTTAAAAGAAGATTTTATATTCTTACATAGAAACATTAAGAAATAACGAAAGCAGGGTCTCGTTGTATATGGCCCAACTGATGAATCTGCTCTCATTGAACTCTGATGGTGCCTTTCTCACCACGATACACAATCGAACGCCCCATAAAAGAAAAAGTAACTCCGCTGCAAGACAGTAAAAACAGTAAAATCCCTTGTATTCTATTCTAAGCGGCATTATGTCAGACTAAACCATAATTCTCCTAAATGGATAAAGCACTTAGTTGGATACTTAAGCTTATAGACCAAAGATTAATTTCTTAACAATTATCATAGGAAAGATAATAGATAAGATATATAGTGTACTTCACTTTTGAAATGTTTCTGCATTAACTACCAGTAATACGGTGCTACCGTTTTATGAGGGCACTTAAGCATTCCAGCGCAGAGGGAATAAATTAAACTATCTCTTTAAATAGTTTATTTCATAACGTAACATTTTTTCCTCTGACTACTAAAAGACACATAAGCAACTTTAGCGTTGTCAATTTCAGGTTTGTAATTTTCGAATCGTAAGATACTCGCTTTCGGCAATATACTAGTATGAATCATGTGAACTAGTTATTAAAAGACATCTGAATATGCCATCAAGGATGGGATGCTTGTTATGCAAAGGTTTATGTCCATGTGGTTAAGCATTCGAACAACTATGTGTTCATCTTAAATGAAACATATTATGTGTGTTGTTTTAAGAAACACAATGCCTATTGGGAACGATATTCTAAAAAAAAAAAAAATATACAACTTATTTTAGCTGAAGTGAAATACTATAGTAGATGACATCTCAAGTCTAGGGCTAAAGCAACTACCATTTACAATGATCTGTATGCAATAAAACTTTGACTCAGTTTACATTCTTATCGATCAACAGAGTTAAAAAAAAAAACAAAGAATAAAATTTTAAAAATACTTAAGTGGAAATTCACAAAATAACATAATGTATAGTTTAGCAAAGTGACAATAGGGGTGTCTTGTGTCTACTAGATGATTCAACTAGTAACAATTTTGATACATCAAGTTATGGTATAAACTAGGAACATCTCAAAGTATCGATTTAAAATAAATGACTGTAAGGTAATGGAAAATTCCTGCCATATACAACTTTTTATTGACGTAGAAAAGTGTATTTAAAGCTTAGATGCAAATCATTACAGCAAAACCCTTTCGCGGTCAGCTTTTTAACTAATCGACGTGGTAACTTTGACTTGAAATCCCTTTTCAGTTTTATTTCTCATCACAACCAGTTTGCATTGGTCCGTTAATGCAAACAAAGCACCAGCCTAAGATGAATTTGACATGTTGAGTGCATGTAAATCTTACAAGCTGAGTATTCTCCGACATGTTCATTTGATGGTCATGTAAATTTATGTTTGTGTTCAATTACATAGAACTATCATACAGTCTATATCTGTACAACTTGCAGCAACATACCCTCCACATAAAAAATGTTCAAACGCATAACATTAATCTTTTTTAAAAACTTAGTTAAAACAAGCTTTTAAATACTTGAAAGTACATTGTGACATCATCATATCATTATAAAGCAATAAGAAGTATTCTCCATTACTGTTGTAATGGACAATACATACCAATAGCGGCGGAATGATCCCACCAGTCAGAGGAACATTGATACGTTTTTAAGCCATTAACATGCTTTCCTGCAAAGAATCAAAGAGATGATTTTTTTATTCAAATACCTGTACAGTAAAAAAAATAAAGTACATTTGTAGTTCTATGGTTCATTCTCTTCTCTAATGCGATATTCTCATAGAAAACAATTTTCTCTGTTATAAAACGAGGAAAACATGTATCTTTTTGTCATAAAATGTATGCTTTTGTAAATAAAATTAGATAAATATTTAGATTTTAAATAGATAAAGATTAAAGAAGGAACTTAATTGGTCGAATTATTTTTTATACTTTAACCATTTGTTTACCTTCTACAACTCTTGGAGTTCCTGCAATGGTTCTTGCTGTTAAATAAGCAGCACAGACTAAAGTGATTAACAGTAATCTTTTTATGAGGTCCCCATCTGAAATTTTCACTCTTTGAGCTGATCGTACTCTGAATACAACAGATATTCTGTAAAGAAAAAAAAGATTATTCAAAGATAATTTGAAAGGACAAACTAAATTTTATGATTAAATGATTCCTAGCTGTCTGATTGACCGAATTCCCACATACTAAGAATCTTTAAAAATTATATTCATCTGCACATGTCTTTCCATATTAATATAATTTTTTTTCTACAATTGGACCAAAAATATATGAGGAACTTCCAAAATTTATCTGCTTTAATTATTATGATTTTTACTAGTATCTCAAAGCGTTTTCCTTAGACTTAAGCATACATAAACAACCAAGAAAGATTGCACAATATTCTGAATAAGTCTTCATCATTGAATCATATAATAAAATGATAAAGGTGGAGATAACCAACAGTGATCGACCCCCCCCCCCTCCCCCCATCCAAAAAAAAAAAATTACAAATAATACAAATCTGTGAACAAGGCATAAAAACACGGACTCCTTGAAATTCCAGAGGTGGGATCAGGTACCTAGGAGACAAAAAACATCCCCTGTCGACTGGTCACACCCACCGTGAGCCTTATGTATTGATCAGGTAGCCGGAATAACCCGCAATCAAATTAAGTATAAAAACAAAGGCCTAACAATTCGTATGAAATATATGTCAAAATACGACCCAGTGATAGGCTGTACTTGCTAACAAGGTCATTATAACGATCATAAAATTTACGATACAAATACAATGTGTTTCTGTTTTTGGTTGATATGATGCTTCAGCAACTCTCATGTACAAAATTCAATATAGTCTACTCCTCAGGTAGCTAATTTATCGTTTTAACCGAAAAATATTTGTATAAAAACATATAATAATTCAATAATGTTAAAATGTCTGCTACTAATACACTAGTTCATTGTATTGTCTAATTTTTGTTTAAACTTTCAATATAATTAGATCACAAAGAAGTTACTAGTTTTAAATAAACTAGTGGAATAAACAATATAGAAGGTTATTTTTTTTCAAAATGGTTTGTACGTAATGAGTAAATGAAACTTTCTTTATTACACATTTTCCCCTCGTATAATTTAGCAATTTGTATTGTCAAATTTCAGAAGAATGTACGTGACAGAAAAGCTCAACATAGAAATATTTAACTGATTCCAGACGTTTGGTTTCAACAGACGACAGAACCGATTCAATGCCATATTGAATTTCCACTCAATATTCCTCTCCCTTCCTCTTTGATTATAACTAAGAGGCATCTCTATCTCACTTTTAGTGAGACAAAAATAAATACTATAACAAAGGTTAGGGAGCTTCATTTGGAAAGAAAAATAGCGGGTTACCTCCATGTTTTTAATAATAGCGCCCCGTAGGAGATGGAAAATCCTATTTCACGGAACCAGAATCGGAGAATGCACGTGAAGACGCTTGCCTCGAAGTACCCTACAATTAACTGTAAAATAATAGACTTTAATACTATATGCACAGCTAAAAATCTAGAAAATCGGCCCACGGCCAAGGATATTCAGGGTTTCTCGAAGACTAATTGCATTTTATTTTCTGAAAGAATTCTGTAGGTTATAATCTATTAATGAAATACAATTTGATTTTTTTTATACCGAACAATTAGGGAAAGTAGGTTGATACTTCTGTTAATGATGGCATTCGACATGAAACATATCAAAGAAACATTTACAAAGCTTTGTTATCATATAATTCGTAATATTACTTCTACTCTAGTAAGTACTAAAACGACTCGTAAACCCTGAGGAAGTCTTTATCCTCTTAAGCCAAATTATGACATATTAGTACTACAAGGAAATATCAAGCAGACATTGATTAGACAGATCACCAAATTACTTAAATAAGCAGACAGTTTAGTACTTGGTATGTTTTAGCAAAAATAAATAAATAAAAAAAAAACATTAATAATTAATAACATACCGGACAATATAAAAAGAATGCACCAAGAAGAATAATTCGCATCAAAACTGGACTTGCTGCTTTCAAAACCTGTAATGAAAATATTTGTCACATTGAAATAACATCATATGTTGAAAGGACACGTGTTTCAGTCCATAACTTCGATATTGTTGATTAAATGATAGGGTTAGCTTCGCATGCTGATTGATAGGCCAAGGTTGAGTAGTCAAACTAATTATTAAATTATATGATTTCCAATTAAACAATAAATCCCGTAAAACAATTCATGTTTCTTCAGAGAATGCAATTTTTTATAACCCCACTCAGCACGATATTTTTTCTTCCTCGTTTAAATGTACAGAAAAAAAAACTTTAAAAGAAAAGAATATGAGGAATATTAAGTTTCAATTTAACAATGGATTTATTTCCATTTTATATGAAGACGAATAACCGTTTTCCCACCAGGTACAAGAATCATGTATATTTTGCATTTTTTAAATTTAGAAGATTTGCATTGCTCTTGCCAGAATGTTATTTTTTTTTCAAGAAATATATTTTAAAATTACTGACTTTCCAAATATCAATAAGCAAATTACTGTTCCATTATAACCTTGACATCTCTGTATTGGACGGTGAACCAGACTAGAAGTGGAATGCCACAAAGAATGAGAATGGAAATAGCCAAGAGAATACTGCGCATGATCCAATTAAGCGTGAGCACGCATGGACTGGGGTCATCACATGTTATACATCCGGGTTCACACATGAAGCATTGGAAAGAATACAGGTCATCATATTTGTTCTCGACACCCTAGAAAATTGATGTAATAAGTAAGTGCACATGCACTTGCAGATAAATTGAGAACTGCATGTGTTTGTGTAGGCATATACAAATGCAATACAACTCTTCAATAAATCTCATGGCCCTTGAAATCTCTCTTTCCCCCCCCCCCCTCTCTCTCTCTCTTCTTTTTAAGTGGGTGCATGTGTTTGGGTGCTAGTGTGTGTTTTTAAAATCAACAGATCATCAAGGGTTTTTACAAACAACAAACACGAACCCTTGTAAATTTATCATCTAAATAAACTGCATTAGAATATTTTAATTTACAAATGCTGTTGATCAGTAAACTCTAATGGACGTACAAATCTCTTTACATCTGCTCTTAGTTACCTTCATTTTCTTTTCATATTCATTTTCTATTTCTGACCCATTAAAGTATTTCTCTAAATGTCCCTGATCATAGAACGGAAAATAAAACCCGTCTTTACAGACGCACTTATACGATCCTCTTTTGAATCCCAAACCACGTAATGGCTCACACTGTAAAAAAAGAAATCAATTGATCAAATCATGATCATCATGTGTTTACATACTTTATATCACACTATGATCTATCTGATTTCAGATTCACTTAATGTTTTAAAATCTTGTTGAAGTATCATAAAAACAGCACTTAATTATAAGTGCTCTGCTAAAACGCACAGCTAGACATGTCAGAGATTTCTCAATTCCTCTTTATTTAGTCATATCCATTAGACTTCTAAATTTGAATATTTTTTTTGTACTTGTACTTCATTAATTTGACGATAAAAAATTGCTGTCACCTTAGTTGTTTCTGGTTTACATCTTGCAGATCCTGCAAAAACATTGGGTTCTGTGGCATCTTCCGGTTGAGGACATTGGTCTATATCTACCTTGTCCAGAGCGATATCTATCCCACTGGTGCCTCTGCATAAAGGATTAAATCATGCATAGTAACAAAATTAAGCCTTATGTTGCCTTACATATCAGGAATGCAATATTATTTCTATAAATCATACTATTAAGATTTTCTTCCATGTCATTGACAAAACAGGACAGAAACCTAAAAACGCTTTGGACGCTTAAGTAATTCCTAAGGTAAACCAGGTAACAAACCATTTCTTTTTAGTGGTATACCTTCATTTAAGTCAAAATAAAAAGACTTCTTTTGTTTAGATAGTATCTTTGATCAATTAGCAATCCTTAATTTTCAATAAGTTCATGACTAATAATAAGTCATGTACTGATTGACAAAGATCATTAAACAATTAAATGTTTTCTTGGATTGTTAATGCAAAGATACCGATTGTGCCATTGTAGAAAAAATACAAAACCCGCGAAAGCGGGTTATGTAATTTTTTTTTCCCTGCAATGATTTCAACCGCGTTATTTCCTGCATAAATAAAGACAGCTTATTGTTTATATTCATATCTGTATAAATTATTCGTATATAAAGTGGATGAAAGTACGTAATCTATTGTATTATTGCTCCATACATTACCTTGATGGAAGAGGATTGCAAACAGTGATCGATTTAAAAAAAAAATCTATAAACAATGCAAATTTGTGAACAGGGTATAAAAACACGGACCCCTGGAAATTCCAGAGGTGGGATCGGGTGCCTAGTAGAGATTGTTCTATCTGACGTATCCGTATACGTATCCGTATACGTATCGAGGTGAGAGAGGCATCTCGATCCCGATGATTTATCCGTTGGGTAACATTTCCATCGTTTCTTGTTTGATTTTAACCTCATTCATTGGAAAATAAGATATATAGTAATATTTCTACTAAAGCGTATCAAGTTGCTGTTCACACCTATCATTTTATGGAAGGATTTTTAAAAAAAAATAAAATTAGTAAAAAAGTAAGTATATTTTTATTCATTTGTTTAAAAATAAAAAAAGGTTCAAAAAGGGACTTCCCCCTTCTCTCTCTCTCTCTCTCTCTCTCAATATCAGGATATATTATTGTTTCATTCTCGAAGTAACCTTTACCAGTACAAGACATATTCCCCATAATGCATACAGTCAACACTCGTTATCTCAACTTGATTGGACCAATTCAAACTTCGATATATCCAAGGATTTCAGTTAACAAAGTTTAACTGTACGAGTTGCCAGAGATCAAACATTCTAGATGAGTATAAGTTTGTATACATCAAGCAGACACTTAAAATTGATTAACAAAGTGGAGAAGGTGGAAGCTGGGCCAAGGCATGGAGAAACCAAAAAATACCAAGTCACCTTTGCAAAACTTTGACAATAAAAGGTGTAGAAATTAATCAAACCTTTAAAAAACCTATTACTGGGAATGTGTGTGTGGGGGGGGGGGGGGTATGGATATTAAGTCCTGAGTTTCTCTTTTCCACAAAAATAATTACGGATACATTAACTGTGAAAGATTAACTTGACCATATTGCATACTCTGTGTGTGTGTGGGGGGGGGGGGGGGGTGTCACTGAAAACTTCCATCCTTATTTTCTTATTATCATTATCAAAATTCTGTATATCATTTGATTATATTCGATGGACATAGTTCTTCAGAAAAGCTTTGGAAAGCTGGCAATTCTGGGGTGGTTTGAAGACCCTAAATTCCCTAAATTGTTAGGTTATAGCCGTATCCAATATTCCAGAGAGCTTGAGGAAGACTACCATTTCCGAAAGTGAGGCAATTACACGCAGTTTTTGTCGGGGATGAATTAACAATTGTCGATAAAAGGAGAAAATTTTTTATGTCTTATACATTACTTTATATTCATGTTGATTAAAGTTTACTTAATGATTTATTTATTGAAATCAAGATGACTGTAATTCTTTGTGTACAAGAGGGATCAAAACTCTGAAAAAATGCTGACATTTTATCAGTTAAATGTTTTGTATAAATTTTAACCTTTATTCTGTGTTTTTTTTATTTTTCTGCTACGTTGAAGCAGCCTCTTCTCTTCAATTCTGTAAACTGCGTGTTGAATTGACTCACACTTTTGGGCCAAAATGCATAAATAAATAAATAAAAATAAATGAATAAATAAATAAAAATCACCTGGATGGACAAGGTAGCATAGAAGAAATAGATAAATCTATTGTTCTGGTATTTCTAGCCTAATAATTCTTTTCTTTCTTATAAAAAGAGAGTTAAGATAATGAATACCCTATTCTGAAACAGTTTCTATATGAAACCATGAATTATAATACGCATGTACGACAACAAGAGAACTAAAAGGGAAAATCAAATTTAACCATTGCAGTTTCATTTCATTACCTATTTTTTTGTCGCCAGGAAGTCTTTTCAAGTTTATACTGCTGAAAGGACAAAATATAAAGCAAAATCAAGCCGTATGAGAATAGGCACGAAAGTAGCAATTTCAACTCGGGAGAGGAAGGGGAGATATACAGGTATTTGTCAATTAGTTCATTAAAAAAAAAAAAGAATGAAGAAAGTTAACAGACGCTATGAAAGTATATGCTTAAAAATGCCAGTTCAACCCCCCCCCCCCCCGGGAAGAGGGGGGGGGGGGATGAACTGACATTTTTAAGCATATACTGGTAAGGGTCTGGAATCTAATTCTCTTTAGAAAACAGCTACATGGTTTTATTGATTGTGTGGATACAACGTCTTTTGCATTTTACTGTGTGTGTGTGTGTGTGTGAGTTGGCGGGGGTGGGGGGTTAATTTTATGTCATCTAATGTAAATTACAGAATCAATCAATAAAATGCCTGATGTTAAAGGAGAGAGAGGGGGGGATCCCGATAAATGTTTTTAAACAAAATTGCATCAATCAATAAAATGCCTGATGTTAAAGGAGAGAGAGGGGGATCCCGATAAATGTTTTTAAACAAAATTGCAATTAAAGTTTTAAATAATATAATGAAAACAAATACATTTATTTTTTAAGAAATTTTCCAGCGAAATGATAGACGTTTACAGCAGCTTAATACATTTTTTATTAGAAAAAAAATAGCATATGCTATTCTTAAATGAATGGGACTGCTCTAAAACTAAACAAATAACGATGGAAATTATAGTAAATAGTTTAGACATCGGGATCGAGATGCCTCCCTCACCTCGATACGTATACGGATACGTATACGGATACGTCAGAAAGAACAATCTCTAGTAGTAAGTATCCCCTGTCGACCGGTATCACCTGCCATGAGCCCTATGTAATGACGGAATGCTCCGTAGTCAAATTTAGTATAAAAACAAAGGTATGAAACACGTCAGTCAAAATAAAACCCAATTATAGTTTATATTTGTGAACAAGGTCATTATAACGACCAAAGAATGTACGAAATGCTGACTTTGAACAAGATTGTTGAAATCCCTGTAACATTACTTATCTGTCAGTAGCCTGCCTCGGTATAAAAATTGATTGTACTCAAAACATGCTCTTGAGTATCGAAAAGTTTGGAACCATATACAGGAGATAGGGGAATATCACTACAAAAAATAAGGAAATTTGCGATGGAAAAGCTGATGTCATCTCGTTTTTCATACAAATTAATTGTTAGTTAGCCCTTATCGTCTATAGTCGCTAAAACGTCATAATATGAAACAGATGTGGTCGACTCTTTGGTGTATTATTTCGAGTTCGCTGGGATATATCGAGTCGATTCATGAATGGAAGTAACTATTGTTAATTGATAAAACGTCGTCGATATATCTGATTGTCGAGTTGAAGGCTACAGCAAGTATTTTCTTCTCACATAGAAGTTTCTGAATGAATTCTGCTTCATAGTAATATACAAACAGGTCGGCAATAAATGAGCACAATTGGTTCCAATCGAAATTCCAACAGTTTATTTGGAAGACCTGGTCTCTGAACACTACATAAATGTCGTGTATGAGGAACTCCAGCATCCTTTCAATAATAACTTCAGAGTACTTTTGTGTAGATTCAGAGTAATTTTGAACAAAGTAATTTTGTTGATGACCAATAACAAGATACAAAAATTTCTCAGTTCCATTCTCATAGCAGAAGCAGTTGTCTATGACATCATTAAGCCTAGTTTTTAATTTATCGTGAGGAATGGTTGTATTAAGTGTAGAAAAGTTCTGATGAAGAAATAATGGAGAAAATATTTAGTGGATGATATTGATTAGTAATAGACAATACCTAGAACCTTGAAAAACCACTTCCTGTCCAATTCGATAGAAAAAAATTTTTAAAAACAGCTTTGAAGAGTACTGTTCAGACACTTAAAATCCTAAGTGCAACTCAGGGGAAAACAAAGGACAACTGCTTAGGGAAATAATTAGCAATGTTTTGAATTTTAAAAAAAATCACTATAGAATCATATTTTAGTTTGTTAAAGGCCAGAATGTTTTACTTTATTACATGATTAGATTAGACTATCTTTGGACATGCTAAGATTGAGGTCATAATATTCTCTTTTTAACATCTTTTAAAATTACATCTTCAATAAAGTTAGATTTGAAACATTGCAGTTGTTTTTTTAAATGAGACCAATTTGAAATCAAATTTATAATATTCAGTTCGAGGGCCAATAAAAACAATGACAATATCAGTCAAGGAAAAGAGAATAAGAAGAAATTAAACGAAAAACTAATTGTAGACTGAGTTTATCTTATTGCTTAGGTTCAGCCATTTATAAATGACAGACTGACAACAACATGCTTGTGTAAAAAATAAAAAGGTCAACAGTATATACAACTAAAAAATTCTCAAATGATCTATAGTTTACAATATAAAATTAGGAGGTTAATAATTCTAAAATACTTTGCCTTACTATAATAATTTGACACTTTACTGGGAAACTATCTTAAGTTCTGAAGCAATAACATTTCCCGAATTTTAAATCAATAACGGTTAAAACAGAAATTAGTGTTTAATGCCTTAAAAATGAAAACTTTAATAAATGAAATTTAATAGCAACTCGAATTTCTTATTTTAAAAAGTTTAACTTGCTATGGGAATTAATTTTAAACCTTCCTTCATAACAAACAAAAAAAAAAAAATAAAATGGATAAAAGAAAACTGAGGAATTTTGATTAACAATAGTACACGATAATTATTAAACAATAGGTTACTTTAGCAGTTAGTTTGTTTTTTGCCAGGAATTATATACAGTTTTTAACTTTTTATTGACAAAGTGCTACGGAGACTAAACACTAACTAATTTGAGACGGTTTAAACAACATATTAATGCCTCGGTAAACCCACATCAATCAATTTCGATGACAATTCCAGATGAAAATGAAGTTCTTTATTTTCGACAAGTCTGGTGTCTATTTAGTTGCTCTATTATTTGTAAGCACTAATCCAGAGGTGTTGTGATATCGATTCTCGAATTTATGACAGAAAATTCTCTCATTTACTTGACAGGAAGAAGGGGATCGTGATAAATTCAAAGAATCTTCGAGACTGGAATTGAAACAATTATTTGAGAGAAAATGAAAGCGATAAAAATAAGCGAAAAACAGCATCAATTTCTCCCTATACCCAAACTTAATCTGCCTTATATTTAAAGAAGAAAATATATGAAAAGTCTTTAGGGATTCTCTGTGTCTTGGAGGATCTCTTGTAGAAAGGAGTGATACATGGGCAACTGCTTGTATATTCATCAAATGATTGATAGATGCAATTTTTCTTCATCATAAATCCCCTCTCCACAAAAATAAATCTTTCAAGTAAAAGCATATCTATCAATTAAAATTGAGATTGTTGATCAGAATTAGCTAAATGTCTTTTAAAGTAATGATTTGAAATAGATAGCCAGAATACAAAGATTATATCATTATTGTTGCTTTAAATTCTGTGTTATGTGTAATTACAAGAAAACTTTAACTCGATCGGATATTCATATTTGCAACGAACTCTCTAAAGATCCAAATTTGGATTTCACACTTGTGAGACTAGTAATAGTACAGTATAACTTTAGTAAAAGGATTTTTCCCTCTAGTAGAAAATCCGTTCGTCGAGAGCCTTTAATTTGGTGTCAAGAACTTTTTAAGTTAAAACTTTCTTTGGAATTCAAGAATTCCAATTCAGTTCCAAACTGTGTAAAAGGGAGAGAGGTTAAAACTTTATTCTCGATTTTTGTGTTTTAAGGCATGTCATTAATTGTTTGATTGTTTTTCATCTTCTTCGTTCTTTTTTTTAAAGGATATAAATAGACAGTCTCATCTGAGGATGGCATGACCAGCAAATAGACCTATAGAAACACAGAACCATTTAGTTTTTTAAATCTATTTTACAGCTTGAAGTTGAGAATATCTTCTCGGAATTAAGTTTAAAGGCTAACAACCTTCAACATTTCATTTTGAACAGAAAAAATAAAAATTTTATTTGTATAAATAAACCCTATTAAATCGTGTTATTAGTTCAATCATTTTAATTATACATGACAGGATTGCTTCCATCTCCCGACAGTTCCTGACTAATAAAACTCTTACAGAGGTGCTTTTTCCCGTCAATGACCGAAGGCTCTAATTAAACGCTTTGCTACGTAGGACAAAGCTTAGTGATTCAAGACTTTTCAGGAAATAACGTGACAATTATAAAACAAATTATTGTAAAACGTTGACCTTAAATAATTATTGGGGTGTGAAGTTTTTTTTCATTCTTATTCAAATGCTTGGTACGTATACTGTACTGTTATACCCAAATTACGTACCAAAAAAGAGAGAAAAGAAACCGGTCATTAATGCACTCCTACATATACATGTACAGCTGCATAACTCAGTGACTAATGATAAAATCGATAGCATTGGACGATACAGCCATGGAATGATTTCGTCTTAAGGTCACCAGACCCCGACAGAATCATTAACACCCAATGTTTTCCCGCTGCTTTTTATTTCGTATCTGACTTCCTTGATGATATCAGAGAAATTCATCTCTGATGTTTATGGTATAGGAACTCTCATGGTCTGCAAAAATAATCGCGTTACTGAGCCTTAAATATCAGGATGCGATTAGTAATTGTTGATAATTATGTATAAGTCTGTTCTATTGTAGAAAGCTTGCGTGTCTTATTTGCCGTTTTGCTATGGAAAAAAATCCCAAATAATTTGCAATTTTAAATTCTCTAAACATACAGGCAGCATCGTTTTTCAAAGGGGGAGAAAAAACGAGAAAAAATTTGACAAGCAAAAAAAAAAAATGTCCAGACACGTAAAACCTATTCGGTGGGGTTAAAAAATAATGGACACAATAACATGACAGGATTATACCGTCCTAAAACATAAAATGTATTGGGGGTGTTGCTGGCCTTTCAATGAAAATTTCCAAACTAAATTAAAAAAAAAAATTAATCTTGGAATAAAGTGGGGAGGGGACAGGGTTCTTTCCTGTCCACGCCCCATGCTACATGTCTTTCCAAAAGCAAGCTAAAATCGATCGATATTATGTATTAAAAAAATTATTCTAATATTTTTTGAAATACTAATGAAGTTTTTTCAAATAAAATCATGCAACTGGAATTGAGTTTCAGTGTAGGGTATAATTATACAATGTGTTTGAGTTAAACATATTCAATAAGGACTGGAAGCGAGTCCGTTTTTGGTCATAAAGTCTCAAATCTATCAAAACCCTTCAAATACTGTCAAATTATCAACAAAATATTTTGAATACAATCAAATCAAAAAATCTTGTATTTCTTTTTCATTTACACTTACTTGAATTTAAATGTCCCATTTTTGTACCCAAAGAAAGGAACAGTATAGGTCATCATCCAGATGTCGCCACCACCGCAGTCAAAGTATGGCTTGCTCCAATGACCATTTTCATATGTCACAGTGATGACACTGTCGTTAATGACGTCACCATGCATACTTTGGTTATATCTTGGCTGTGCTGTCCCTAGAGATAAATAAAAGGAAACAATCATACTAACCATTTCTTTTATGTTATGACCTCAGTTGGTGATCAGCATTTTTTTATGATAAAAAACACAATTGTTTTCAGCATTTTCATGTAATATACCCAATAAAACCTTCTTCAGTTACACAAAAAGTGATGAAGAATCAAAATTACTTTTAATTAACCAAGTCCTAGGAGAATTTTTTTTCTTGTAATAACGGTTATTGCGTTAAAGATACTTTTAATATGAATTCGTTGACTATCTTAAACATGAATTTCAGTACGTATACACGTCTTCTAAATGTATAACAGACTCGTGGCTAGAACAAACTACTCATCTTAATAAATAATCCTCTTCAATAATAATTCTATTTTACTTTCCTTGGATGAATAACTGACAATTTTAAGTTCGCATGTACCCCGACAAGATACATGTATTGTAAAATAATGCATTATCAAAAATATTTTCGCATTTGTAAAATTTTTTTTTTAAAAAATCCATCAGAAATTTTCTAAAATTCTTTGCTACTTTTTTTCAATTTATTGCGATCACTGAATTATCTCGTTAGTATTTCGTATCATCATTGTATGGCATAATACAACTGTTCGAATATATGAGAATTCTACAAAAAACTACAAACCTATAGGTGGCGTATAATGTACTAGTACTGATAAAAACATCGAGTTTTTTTTTTTTTTTTTTTTTTTAAGGAATTGATTTTGCCAACATTTATCAATTTAGATTTTAAAGGGACAGCATTTTTAGGGGGAAAATCTATTTTCATTACTGTATGTAACTGTTATTTAGCATTTAAATAATGTTTAAGTCAGCTGTCGTAAAAAAAAAAAACTTGGAAATAGTTAATTGGAATTCAAAAAGATCAGGAATCTTCTTTTCCGAAGCACGTCTCTTTATAAAAGATTCTTGGCTTGAAAACTGTTGGAGTTCATTTTAGTCCATTATCTTGTCAAGATACAGCTTTTATTGGAATTTCTCTCACAAATCCATCTATTAGTACAACAACACTCTGATGAATTGCTAGACATTCAAATTGCTCCAGTTAAATTTCCTTCTCCTGAAGCTAATAACTACTAAGTAATTTTCAAACCATTCACGCCTGTGTATAATTTCCCTCAAAGTTACCAGTACTTTAACCTTATGAAAAAGAGGAAAAAGCAAAACTTGCATTACCAACTGTTTAGTACTTAAAATTTAAGTGTAACAAAACGTAACAGTTTCTATATACTGCTCATGTAGATTCACTTGTGTTGATTGATTCAATCCACAACGGCATTACAGTATGTAAATTTATTTTAACCACCTTTGTATAACAGGCACATGTATTGTGACTGAGGTGAGAAAACGTAAAAATATACTACTAAAATTTTGTTAAGTCTAGTATATTGATATTTCGTGAAATAGGAAATACATGTAAATGCAATACTTGGTGTACATGGATTTACTTCTGCAAGATACAAGTAAAACAACACACAATGTCGTTTACCTATTTTGATGTACACGTGTATGAAAACTTCAATAATTTGGACAAATGTTTTACAATTTAAGGAACTAAGATAAGACTTTTACCTTGAATATTTTTTATTATTACCGGTATTTACTGACTATACAAAACTTCCATTCATTTAAGCAGGTCTGAAATTTGAATCCTGAATAAAGCATGATCATAATAGACATGTTGTTACCTCGTACTAAGTATGCAAAATCGTAATCAACAGTAGCACTGTCTTTAATGAACTCCAACATTTATCATCTTAAAAAACAAAATAAATTACTCGAATTTTTTAAACCTATCCTTTTGGCATATTTTCATTTAGAATTGACGTTTATGTGAAATTACTCAAATTATGAAATAATGTAAATATATCTTACTTGACATTTGGTTTCTAAAACAATTTAAAACAAACGCGTGGAAAGAAAAATGACATGCAAACATCCGCAGCTATTTTTCAGATTTTTTTTTTATTTCAGTGCACAGATCTTATTGTTTTCAATGAAGGTGGAAAAGTTTAAATATTGTTTAAGCAAGTGTATTTCAAAAGTAATAAATCACTAGAGGAGCAAACTACAGTATTTTTTTTTTTTTTGTTTTCAGTATCAAATTTTAAATTTGTTCAGAATATTGACAGATCCTGAGATGTCGTGCAGTGTTTCACCATTCTTACCTGGTTCATGGTTTTTTAAATAGTAGATTTAAAATATAAATTTCAAATAAAATTGAAAATGTTAATTTGAATGAAATAAATACAAAGTAATAGTATTTCTATACCGAAATAAAAAAAGAAGAATATATTAGTAATTATTAAACTGTAATATGATTTCTTTAAAATCATTTGTCAGCTTTAAATATTTTAAATATATTTCCAACAACCTAATTGAGTTTGTATTACATGTATAATACCTATACTTGATTCCAAAACCTCCAAACAAATAAATCCTTACAAACAAATATACATAACGGGATCTAGAAAATTTTCCACTCCCCATGGAAATATTAACAGCTTTGAAGGAGAAACTTCAGCAATACTGTGCAACAACACATTTGAGAAGTGGTGTTAATCAAATGTAGATACAAAAAAAAACTAAGAATTTTTATATAATTTTGAAAATTTGAAATGAAAAAAATTGCAAAATTAAGAATCACCGAAACGTGTGATTATTCAACACTTTGCACAACCATTTCTTTCATAAATTAAAAACCAGGCTTTTTAGTATCATAGACAACTGCTTCTTCAGAAAAATGGAACTGAGAAATTTCCGTATCTTGTTATTGGTCATCTGCAATCTTACTTTGATAAAAACCACTCTGATTCCACACACAAGGAGCATGAAGTTGATATTAAAAGATGTCAGAGTTCGTCATTGATAATATGTATAGTCTTTGGAGATCAGGTATTTCAACAATCTGTTGAAATTCCTTTCAACTAATTATAATTGTGCCCCTTTATTAGCAGACCTGCTTTTGCATTCACATAAAGCAGAATTTATTCAAAAACTTTTATATACCCTTACTCATATAGCAATATATCTTTCTCATCTGCTTATGGTATTTACGTCCCCCTGTTGATTTGATATGCAAGAACATGTACGAACAATTCCTCAACCGAGGCAGGATACTGTCAGATAATTTGATATTTCAAGAATATCAACAATCTCGTTTTAAATCAACATTTCACAACTTCTTTGGTCGATATTTTGACATTGTTTGTAATAACAACCTGTCATTTGGTCAAATGTTGACGATGAATTCATTACACATTGGCAGTCCATTATTTTTATATCTGTATACCGAATTGTCCATAGAATACACTGTTTAACCGATGGAGACAAAGGACTCACGATGGGTGTTACCGGTCTACAGGGGATGCTTACTCCTCCATGCAAATGTATAAACTTTAATGAATATATATATATATATATATATATATATATATATATATATATATATATATATATATATATATATATATATATATATATATATATATATATATGTATGTATGTATGTATGTATATCCCACTTGTAATGAGTATCACCTTTATAAAAGAGATATCCATTAATTTTGATTGCGTCTTTGTAAGAACGACTTCAAGGGTCCTTGGTCCTTGTAATGGCATCAGTCAAATTATGTCGATGAAAGTGCTTATAATGATATCATTTAAATTATGTCGTTACGCAACAAGAAGTCGTGACCAACACTCATTAAGTTCCATGTAAAAAGGTGATTTATATTCTCTTAAATTTGTAATCTTGAAAAGCTTCCGGAATAGGATGCACTAATGTCTCGATGTAACAATGACCTACATTTGCCATCTTAGAATGGAAAAGTAAAGTAAGATCTATTGATAACAATTCTTAAGGAACTTCTCTATCTTTTTACTACGAAAGCCCGGAAGGCTCTTTCGACATTCGAGATTCTAAATACAAAATTTGAAACACGAGACTAGAAATTCGAATTTCGAGATTCAATATCTTAATAAATCAATCAGAGGGCGGATTCAAGATTCCATTACTCACATTTGCTAAGTTTTGACTTTCAAGAAATCGTTGTTTATATTTGTAATTAATAGGTCATTTGATTAAATAATAATGCAAGAAAAAATGTTATATGTATCAAAACGAAATATAAGTGAATGTTTTGTTGAGCAAAATATGCTTAAATTCTTATTATAACCTGTCAAATGAAATAATAGATTTATATCAAGAATATCTATGTGGTGGAATGGCCAGTTTTACTGTGTACATTTTGTGTACAGTTTGGGGTTGGCGGTGTGATAAGTAGATATCTTGTTATTCGTATTCTTTGTATTCTTTAGAAGTCTTTCGTTAAGAGACAAAAAGAGGTCTTACGGTAGATGACATGTGCCTAGTTACGAAGTGGCTAGTGTTAGAAAGTTGCAACTGACCAAGTTTGTGAAGCCACGAGACAATCCCTTAAAGGGGCTTAGACACAAAGGATTTGAAGTTGATATTTTCTCAAATTTTCTGTATAATATCATGACATATGTTGCTAGAATATTTCACAAGGAAAAATAATAAAAAAATTTATTGAATATATTAAAACTACGAATTTCGGGACGGGTTTGGTTGACATATATCCTTGCACTTTAACAAAGTAAACTTTATCCTTAATACTTTACCTTTAAAACATGGTCAGTGACTTCATTAATCTAGTAGTAAAATCCCACATGTTTTTTTTTTAAAATCTCGGTTAAAATATTATAAGCAATTAATTCCTCTGGAGGATCTCGAATCTGAGGGGAGATATGAGGAATGAATTTCCTTTGGTCATAATTTGACGTTTATCTAAAAGACATCCATTAATTTGTATGGTGGTGTTTTTTATTTAATGATGAGAGGCAACCACTGTCTTCTCTTTAAAGGAAGTATAGTACATGTACCTTTGCATTAAATCTAGCAACCTTCACGTATTCTTATATATGAGATGTGAATCCTATCAAGATTTAACAAAACATAGCT